TGAAATACAGCATTAATTAAAAAATAATAAAAATAATATATATATATAAATTTTCTATTATATTCAATGGGAAAAAATGGATCATAATTATTGCATAAATATTAATTATTTTCATAAAATTCTCTCAAAACACAAAAAAGAAAAAGAAAAAATATTATTGAAAAAAAAAATAAAAAAAAAATTGATTTCAGGGGTCCGGTCACTTTTGACCGCGAAGGTCTTGAGTGTGACTGGAAAACGAAGAACTCCAGAGGGTTAAGGTGAATTAAAATGCAGCCTTAGTTATTAATGAGCAAAACGTTTCGGATGTTAAACTCACTATTTACGCGTGGCTGGGAGCAGGTGTAGATTTCTTGTTTCGTACCAACTAACATTTGGAAAATACGAACATTTTAATGAATCCGAAAATTTACGCCAGAACCACTTTACACACGATTTACACAAAAATTCGTTCTGCTCCTGTTTCATATACGAGACCCAATATATGTAAAATATAATACAATTTTTTTTTACACAATATATGATAAATAAACTATCACATAGTGAATAACTTTATAATGTGCCTCAAGATGTGGCTCCTAATAAGACATCTAATATAAGCCATATACTGCAGCAATTGTTTAAGAGAGGTGCAGGCAGCCACCCACAAACATCAGAGCTTGATTACCTTCATATATACCTTGACAACAGAAAAAAACAACGCAAGGGGGGAGAGAAGAGAGAAAAGGCCCACAGCACCAGGGGCACTTGCACCTTAATTATCTCAATTTGAACCTCTAATGGTAAGATCGCACATTCACTGGAGGTGGTTAAGAGATGAAAAGCAGGGGTCCTCTAACAGGGAAGCCCTGAGTGCTTCTGGATGTTGTTTGTGAGAACAGGCCTTGGTTGCTAAGATACAAGAAGCACAATTGAGGGTCTATACTTATAAGAGACATGTCAGAATCGGATCTTGAGAGGTAACACAAACTCACTCCTGCGGCTGCATTATAAAAAATAAAATAAAAAACGTCAACTTTCCCAGAGCTTACACATATCCTAGTTGTAAGCCCACTCTTGAAACTTGTAATGTCTTCAAGTAACCAAACAACATCAGCAATAAAGTTGATTGCCTACTTCCTCACAATACAATACACACTGAAGCATAAATATAAATGAGTGGATGTTTCCTCATTAAATAAATACATACTTCCAGGCACTCACATAGTAGTAAAAAGCCTACATATTTAAAACACCAATGTATAACAACCCAAACAGGCCTTCATCAACAAAGTAAAAGTGCAGCAACGGTTGACAGTATATCAAAAGATCTTGTGTGTGAGCTCTGCATTAGTCCCTAGAGGTAGTGCTTTACAGCGAGTCGCTCTGCAGAGCACGTAGTCAGCCTGGCCTGCTGAAAGGTTAAAGTCAGAATGAAACGGAAGTTGTAATAATCTTTCCTTCCCTGTGACGTATACCCGTTCATTTATTATAATTACTGCAATATTCCATAAAAAAGAAAGAAATGTCAATTTTGATTTGATGGTGACTTTAATGCGTCCATAGGGGTTGACTCAGAAAGGCAAATTAATAGCAGTTCTTTCAAGAAGGACAGGGAGGACATCTGTTTTGAATTCCAGTGAGTCTGCATGTTATAGAGTGGGGCAATTCAATTAAAGCAGCCACAAACCATGTTACAACTAGAGATGTGCCATGCAGGACTGTCCACCTCTTCTGTTTTACCCCTAGGGGAAGCGTCTATGCTAGCTCCTCTCTCCAATAGTATCCAGCTGCAGACCCGCAGCACCACCACTTTCAGAACCCCAGCGCCAGAACCGGAAGTAATGGGCGGAGCTTACGTTCTAACACCAGCGCCAGGACCGGAAGTGAGGGGCCGAGCTTACGTTCTAAACCGAGTAACGCCACCTAACGTTTTGGAGCGTAGTTTGCTTAGACAGGAAACGGAATTATTACACACGAAACGTCATACTTTATACATATTATAATGATACATTAAGGTATAGTACAATAAGCATTTGATGAAAAAACGTTGATTTTGTGTAATATAATTCTATATAGTTATCCGTTTCATTGTATTATGAGAGTTACTCCCTGATCATGATGGTGAAAAATAATGCTTGAAACTTATGGTCATTTTATATAAAATATACTTTATTTCACAAGAACATGTGCAGCATGCATTTTTCTTTATGTAAAATAATGACAAAAATCTAAAAAGAGAGAGAAAATCTGGCATTGTTTTAAAAGAAACAATAAAAATGTACCGTACTTCAAATAATAGCCGAGTCCCAAATAGACGATTGTCTCTTTACATGCCTGGTGTGGCTGCAGGTCTGGGTAAATATAAGGCCGGTCGCAAATAGAGGTCGGGTCTGTTTTTTAGTTTCAGGTTGTATTAAATCTTCTAAAACCCGTCAGATCGTCCGCTTTTTGGCGGCCGCCAAAGCAAATTTTTGTCCCGCCAAAGCCTATTTTGATCGGTGAGTGATGTAGAATAGAATGACTGCTGCGCGTGACAGGGCGCTTAACGAGCAGAGAGAGAGAGAGCCCTCAGCCCTGGCCGCGCGCGCGCACTCTGACGTCTTCGAACAACACGAGCGCTGTCTTGCTCTTTATTTGTCACATACCAGTTATAGTTCATACAACGAGCAGTGACTCACTGTGTAATAAAAACATACCCTAAATATTATTTAAAAGGTGCAACAATTTTAAATATTTTTAAATAGGCCTACTTGCAAAAATGTGTCATTGTAAATAATTCCGCCCCTCCCTCACTTCCGGTTCTGGCGCTGGGGTTCTGGCACTGGGGTTCTGAAACTGGTGGTGCTGCGGGTCTGCAGCTGGATATATCTCCCTCTAACTGAGTCCCACCTCCAGCTTTAATGAAGCACACGGGGGAAATGGAGCTGGAGATTGTGAACGGTCAATGATCTGTGAGACAATCCTGAAAAGCACCTTTGATTTCCTCTTATCCTTGCCGTTTTTCTGGTAGCCTGGTCCTGCTGTAATGAAAAGATGGTTTGGAAGACAACTTGTGGAATTTAAAATGTAACTAAAAATAATTGCAAAATGTTATAATTTCAAAGAATTTGCTACCAAAAGTTGCAAATAATTAGCTGTACTCATCAGGACTTTATTTGTGCCAAAACAAGCCAGCTCCAAAAGTGGATTCCCAATGCTTTTAGAAAAAAGATATGCTATGATCTGTATGTGTTTGACGAAAAAAAAATCCTAAGAAATGTACAATAAAGGACTAATCAATTTGTATTGAACCCGGAACGCCCTTTAAATCTCAAACGAGGAACAATAAAAGTGACCTGATCTCACCTTAGCCGTCGTTCTTGCCCCAAAACCTCTGACCTCATAAAAAGCAGGACAGCACAGATCATCACAGCCAGATGAAGCCTAGTCATCTATGAGAGCACTCCTAATACATCCTTCATCCCAGGATTTCTATAAAACAACAATTATTGGAGAGTCCTGCTAGGTCCCGTGTAAACAGAGAGAGATCTGATATGCTAAAGACAACAGCATTGTGGAAAGAGCAACAAACACAGCAGTCCGTTCCCACACACACCATTCAAAGAGTCTGTATTTTCAATGAAAACATAATTATATCTGAAGACAGAGGAGTTTAAAGCACATTTACTATAAAATGTAATAATAAAGAGTCGAAAGATTGCCGCTGAGCATGGTTAAGTACACAGTTTACATAACCTACTTCGAAAAATTATATTAATAAATCGTTAAAAAAATTGAACGCATACAGTATGATGTTAAAAGCAGCAGATAGTCTACAGTAGGCTACTAAGTTAGATCTTTGTATTTGATTGCATTTTAAAAAAAGACCGTTTTCCTTCTTTGCACAATGTTACTGCAGGTTATCACCTACAATAATATCCACACACGTCATTAGTACAAAGAGACTGCAGTTAGATTCATCTATTGACACATCTCCATCACTCAACTTATCTTGACCAAGTCACCCAAAAAAGAGAGAAACTGAACAGAATTTAAGAAACATACTTTTAAGTATGTGCTCAACTAGCCTACATCCAGAGGCTTTGCAGAGAAAACAAGTGTGAGTCATCGACTTTTGTTGCTTTCAGAACCACAAGAACATCGAAGTGCTTTTCAAAAAGACCTAGCGTTGACTAATAAACATTATTTCAGACTCATTATTTAAGTCTTTTTCCCCCCCATGTATAACTCTTAAACGTTAGCTGAAATGTTTGGCAATTCTTCTAAAGGTCTACTGAAATTCTCAAAAGAAAAAAAATGACTAGAGAACTAAATAGTTAAAGCAGTTGAACAGTGCAGTAAACTGTTCTTCAGCAATAAAAACATGACCAACAGCGCATTATGAGAATTTTTGTCATTGAAAAGCAACGTTATTATAATAACGTATGGTTAAAAAAAAATGTCATTGCACAAAATTAAATGAATGTTAAAAAATGTTCACTTTCTGCATATATTGCACAACACTGCACGTGAGTAGCTGTGTATACATTCTGCTTTAACACATTGAAGCAACTCCATAAATTAACTCTATAAAAGAGCAGGGAATGGGAAATGGAAAATACGGAGTGGAGCTGGAGCGGAGTGATTACAGAACACTTAAAATAGGTGAGGGAAAATGTGTCACTCCGCTCCCCTCACACAGCCTTGTCCAGACTGGCTGTCAGTCCCTGCGGTGATTCAATGCTTGATGCTTTGACTTCTTTTGGAATCTTTATTGACAGAGGGACAAAAATTAACGACCTGAATAAATTCTCATTATTAACTTCTTGTTCACACAACTGTTGCCAGAAAAGTGTATCACACGGAATTTTGTACATATCTAAATAAATAGACTAATCTAATCAGCCTATACGGTCAAATGACAACCACTGACTGAGCATGCCTACGTAAGTAAATGAATAAATAAATAAAATGAATCAATAAAATAAGGGGTTACTTCAAATCCAAGCAATAAAGTAATGAAAGCACACTGCACTCACCTGTTTCCACAAAAAGACGTCCCTTTCGTTTAACTTCCATGAGACCAGCACATGTATGGCAGACAGTATAATTCCAGTGATGACCGCTGCTCTCATCCGCACCGGCAGAAGTGTGTAAATGACATAGATGAAAAACACGGTCCACCAGATGCCTTCAGACGCGCTCCGCGGCTCCACCAGCAGCACGCCGATCACATGTACAGCCAGCACCACCAAAATGAGCACATAGCAAACTATCCACATGTGATCCTGATGGAAGCCGTTCCTGTTGCACAAGACAATCAGCGTGAGGATGAGTACGATCGTCGTGGAGAAAACCACCACGTAAGTGAGCCGACACACTCCTCCAGCGCAGTGGAACCCCAGCATCACTGCGCACACCAGCACAAGAACGGCCATGAGCATAGTCAAACTGCTCTGGTTGAGTCGGAAGAAGTAGCGCTGGTAAAGCCTCTCCAACTTCTCCGACTGGAACTTCTTGGATTTGAAAATCTGCATCACGCCGTTGCAGCACGCGCTCATGGAAAAGTTAACTTCAGGCATGAGCTCCTCCTCTGGCTTGGACTTGGTTCTCCTGTCCTCCAAACCTACCTCCACGGACTTGGGTCTCACTTCTCCATCTCGGTACCTCGGGGACGAGCGGTTATTGTTGCGACTCTCCTCTCCGTGTTCTTGCCAAGCAGACTTGGATCTGAAACTAACCCGGCTGACAGTGGTCGTGGCTCGGCCTGGTTGTAGCTCGAAGTCATCGTCCTCTCTCCACCGACTGTTGGACCGTATGAGCTTTTTGCAGGAGGATCTGGCCGAGTATGGACATCCGTTCGCCACGGACTCAGACTCGCCCCAAGCGGATCTGTGCTCCGTCCCTCCCCTCAATACAGGAGCGCCAGCGCCGGGTGGGCTCACGCTGTTAGATCTGGACATGATCTCGACTACTACATGCAATTTAAGACTTCAGTGTGCGAACCATTGGGGTTTGACCTCCCAATTAGGGGTTTAGTTCAAAGAAAAGGTCGGAGGTCTTACAAGTTTGTTTCGTAAACGTTTCAGCAGTATTTTCAAATAACGTTTCAGTCGCCACGAAAGTTAGTCTGACTGCGCTCGAGAACAGAAATCAAATCACCTTTGCTTGAGGAGGTGACCATGGCAACAGCTGCTTAGCGGTTTGCATAATATCCAACGATGCACTTTTATTACTTATCAAGTTATTATAGATTTACACGCCACGAATGTTAGTGTTTTTGTTGTGCAAGAAGAGCCGAAACCCAAACAGATAATGGTTTTTTTCTTCTTCAAAATTAGACCACTAAAAGTCATCGAATTATTCGTACTGTATAAATATACAAATGTTTATGATCCCAAATAAATCGTTTTTACACTGAAGAGGGTGTGTTTCAGTCATTATTTTAGGGAACATAGGCTATTATATTAAATTTATTTTGCCGACACAACGTTGCAGTCAGCTGGTGATTCAAAACAAGAAAAGAAAATCAAAGTTAGTTCCACAAGTGGATTTCATTAAAAAGGAGCCAGTAAAAGTGGCCCTTTAGAGTTTTTCATTGCAGCATTTCGCATACTGCTTTTATAAAGTAGAGCCACTGTGAAGTGAGAACAATTATTTAAGTAAAAACTCTCTGGGAAAGAGAAACGCATTTTGCTAATCAATCCACTCTTCTTTTTTACATTATTATAAATACATAGAGGACTTTAAATAATTAAATAGGCTATACAAAGTAGTCATTTGGGACACATCCCCAGTTGGCTAGAGCACATTAGAGGACGTAAACGGCAGAGGGAGTAATTGTGAGCCACATTTCAATTCATAGATTTCAAAACACAAACCACCTCTGGGTATAAATTACGAGGCTCAAACCCCCCAGCGAAAAAAAAAAAAAAAGATTGTGAACGTAATGAAAGCACACAAGTATGTATACAGTATGTGTAGGCTTAGATGTAGGGTTAAAAGTTTCAGCACTAAATAAAAGTTAGATAAGTTAGTCAGAGAGTGTTTTTTTCACCTGTCGACAAATAAACAGAAGCCGCGTTCGCTAACTAGATGAGGTAACCATAACAACAGTAAGCTGCTCGCGAGCCTTCAGTTTCGCACGACATAGGTCCATAAAACATGACAAGAACTAATATGTATCACTTTAATATACATTTATATATCACATATGTGTCACAACTTAAGTGTTCAGCTTTAAAAAAGTATTTTAGATAACTGACATTTAGATTACTGTGCTAGTGGCGCCAAATGACAGTTTGCGTTAGCATGAGATGTAACGTTACCTCGAAAGAATGTGCCCCCCCAACTAAATTTACATTTAATAACTTAGCAGATTTCTTTCTTTCTTTCGTTTCAAATAGTCGACCCCCCTTGAAGTCACAGTATGGTTCGCACACTTCTTAAAACTGCGTTGTTTAGTCCAAATCAATGAGAACTGACCCTACGCCCGTCACGCTAGATCTCCACGTTTTCATGACAGGGGCAAATAGTGTCCGCAAAAGTGTGATGTGATAAGAGACGACCGTGCAGAGTACGACTCCATGGTGCGTATGCATTGATGGATTGATCCACACAAGCTGTACACCTGTGAATATTTGGTCGCAGCCCCCTAGATGATTACATGATCACGATTGCTGTGAAAACCTGAGCTTTCCAACGCTCCTTGCATGGTAAGTTGCGTCACCCCAAGATGACCTCACAAGTGTCCTTTAGCGAAGGAGTCTTCATCCGTGCTGTGCAGATAGGTATCTCCAAAGCTCTTGATGCAGTGGCAGCAACATCACCAGCGCTGGCGTATAGATGAGAGATGAATTGTCACGCGACAGGAGCGTCGAATCCGCCCTGCTCGAAAAGAGCTGCGTATTGACTGTGACGGACGAGCTGCACGTCCTTTCCCTGCAGATTCTCAAGACCGAAGCACACAAAATTGATTAAGCGTTATCAGCCGTTTTGGTGCTTCTTGTCTTTGTATTGCCATTCAACCAAGTATGATCTTTAGGCCCCGCCTTACGTGCGATCCTATTGGATAGTTGGTTGCACAAGTTGCCAATCAAATGTTTTATTGGTCAACCCATGTGTCAGTGCGATATAGTGATTTGGATAAGTGGGCGGGTCTAGCTACACAACCGTATGGAAGGGAGAAAGCTGTTTGCTCAACATAAACTAACAAGGTAGCAGGGGACAGGGGTTATATAAATACTTTCAATTTTGTAAGTTGCATTGGATATACAGTAATGCAACAAAGATTGCTAAAGTCAACAGATTTAACTAATAGACCTACCACTCTCCGTGTAAAAATAAAATAATGATGGTGAAAAGATCAACAAAATCAAAAAAGATCAACAAAATAAAAAAATTGAGCCTGGGAAGTTTCCAAAATTTGGTTGATTTGACACGGAATGACCCCAATGTATATAAACCATTAACCACTGAACTAAGTTCAGACATGCTAAATATTAAAACATTTTACTGGATGTTTTATGTAAATGTGAATAATGTGCACAGGAATATTATTTTTTTAAAGGTAAATAAATAAAGTCATTCTTATTCTTCAATGATTCAACTGACATGCCAGTTTTTCCCAATGATAGTTGTGTCTGGTTTTTTTTTTTTTATCATCCCAGTCTATTGACAAATTTTCAATTTGAAATATGCAGGATCATATTAACAGCCAATAGGTGTGTTGTCACGATAATGTTATGTTTGTGTTTCCTTTACCTACCTGTGTTTCGTTCTGTGTTTAGTTTCTGTTCCCTTTCCATTGATTATTATGCTGCCTTCACATGCTATCGGAAATTTCCTATATACTTCCTACTTCTGAAGTCGTGATTACAAGCACATTACATTCAAATTTTGACTTGAGAGGGCATTCCTGTCCTATTTTTTAACTATGAAACTAGTATATTCGACAATTCAGAGTATGTGAAGGCAGCATTAGTTACTACACTGTAAAAAATGTTACTGCTATTTAATTAAAAAAAATATGGTAACAATATTACACATAATATTTTTGAGTAGTTAGGGCTTGATTTCTTTAATGGAATCTACCTGAATAAATCATATAAAATCCCCTTAATTATTTAGTCTATGATACAATGAATTTAATATTTTTAGTGAAATATGCTTTTTTATTTTAAGTTAACGCTCAAAAGTGTGTGAATAAGAGTGAATGGAAATAACCTGTTTCTATTTGAATTTGAGTTACATTGCATTATTAAAAAACTGTTTACAGCTAGCACAGTTCTTAACCAAACTTGCTACTGCACTAGCATTATTACAAAGATTTTGCTCATTTAACAATGCAACATCTTTTAAAATATAAATATATGCAGTTATTCGCTACCTTACTATAAGCCCTACTCTTCTGCACAATGGTAACGATCAAAACTTCAACATAATAGAAACTCTTTCAAATGTCAAACATAACTGAACATTAAACATTACCAGATGTTTCCCTTTACTCAAAACACTCATAAAATAACACTTAATTTCAATATTTCCTCTCCATTACCAGCCATGTGCAAAGCATGCTGTGAACAATGGCGTCTCTAAATAAAACCGCATAATTGAGCTAATTCTCTTAAAATAAATTGGTAGCCCTTTTTCCTTAATTTTATCAGCTTAATCGGTTCCTCAATTCAAGCCTCAAAATTGCGTATGTTTCCTTAAAAAATTTAGGAAAATGTATCTCTTGGTTTTATTAGTGAAATGTTCTCAATATTTTCTATACAACACTGAACCACAATTTTCTTAATAAAATATACACAATATTTTTAATAATCACCTTCATTTTTTTAATGAAAAGACCCATGATTAATTTTTTACAGTGTATGATTACTCATTGATTATTCATTATGTTCACCTATTTCTATAGTTTCCTTTCTCTTAGGCTACTCCTCTGTTTCAGTTTCTTATTCTCGGTTCACGTTTACATTTAAGTGTGTCTCTTATGTTTTCTTGAGCTTTAAATTTGTAAATAAAGATGATTTATTCTGGAATATTGTACTCGTCTTCATCATCGTGCTCAACTGCAACCACAGAACCTTTGTGACGTGTGAAGTGAATTGAGCTTTTATGTGACAGTCTGAGAAGACAAAAGATCTTATTGTTTGCAATCAGCAGAGTCATGCCTCCTTGGTTTTTTTTTTTTTCATAGGTCCCATGACTCCCACCCTTTAAACAGATGAGATGCTGAGATACAAACCCTAAGGAAATTTGCTTTTAAGCTATTTTTTTCCAGTTTTAATTCTGAATACTCAACAGAATTATTTTTCAGACTTTAAAAACTGAAATATAATTGTCGATTAAATTTTTTTTTTAAATCTGACATAGGATTGTAGAATAACCTTGACCTCAGATTTCAAACGGTGTATAGGCTATGTATTAGATAAGCTGATTTTATATAATTATTTGGTAACACTTTACAAGGTCACATTAATGCATAACGTTATGCATTAACTGACAATGAGCAACACATTTCTTACAGTATTTATTAATCTTTGTTAACGTACAACTGTTCATTGTGTCAGCTCCGGATCATTAAATAAAATTACAGATGCAACTTCTGATTTTATTAATATATTACTAAATGTTGAAATGAACACAAACTAAGATTAATAAATTAGAAGTATTTTCCATTGTTAACATTGTTTAAAAAGCCACCTTGTTGTAAAGCATTACCAATTATTTTATATAATAACAGGAAGGATATAATCAGTGGCGTCATGCCCATTCAAAGTGAGGGGGCACGTGCCCCCTCAGATTTTTCCTCCCTGATAATTTTTTATTTCTTCAGTCTTGTTATAATCAGATTCAGCGCGTTGTTCATCTTCAATCCGCAGCGGTGCCGAGCAGAGCGCACGTCAGAAACAGAGGACAGGGTGTGTGTGTGTGTGTGTGTGCGTGCGTGTTCGTCTGAGCCTCATTGGTCTGTCACTGCTCGTCAATGTCAGAATATTTGAGATGACCAATCAAATCAAAGTAGGCGGGCTTTATGTTCACAGAAGCTGAGCGCGAATTTTAGCAGCGAGACTCGACGCTTCAGTGTACAGTCAAGTGCGAGATGTAAGTAGCTAAACTAAACATTTCATATTTGACAGTTTTTTTTAGTTCATAAATGTTAAACGAAGGACAAAAATAATCAGGCACACGAATATACTTTTGTCTAATTTCGCCATTTTGAGCTGAAAATAGGCCTATGTAACATGACTCGTAATGTAGGCTAATAATTAGTTTACTGTCATTGTGAGGGGAAAAGACGTTTTCATTGTTAGGCACAAGATTAATAATGAATGTGTACATATTGAGAATTAATATAGTACAATTTGTAGCCTTAAGTAAATTAAAAAAGCTCAGCTTTAGGAGGGGAAGGCAAGATCAGGAGACTCACTGAGAGAAAAAGAAAGAGTGATGGATAAGAAGTGAGAGCAGGTATTGACAAATAATCTGCCCACTGACATGGTTTTAAAGCTATTTCTTATCCTTTTTTTGGCCTTCAAACGTCTTGAAATGCACATATCAGAGAAATAAAAAATTTGAACCCCTTACCCACCTCAAATTTAGGACCTCTGTGATTATAAAGCCCTGTCTACGGCCCTGTATTAGGCATAAGATCAATAATGAATGTGTACTGTGAATGAATTTAATAAACTTAGTTAGGCTACCTAGCTTTCCTAGTAGCTTTCAGTAAATAAATTCGTCTGAGAAAATGATTCATAAATCAACCTATCAGTTGACCCTATGTTTACTTTCTTCACTGACAGACAAAAATGAAAAGCCTATCAGTCAAAGCTCAACTTTAGGAGTTTTTTTGGCCTTCAAAACATCTTATAATGCACATATAAGATACACATATACTTTAACTTAGTCCTCAGATAGAGGAGGGTTGCTGCTAGCTCCGTTAAGGTATTTCTGTCCCTCCCAAACTGCATTGAAATAGTATGTTTCGCAGCCAGAATTAAAAAAATTTCAGGGGGAGAAACCCCCTGACCCCTCCTAACATGATCCATATCACCCGTCAGAAAACAATTGCAACGTCTCAGATTGTGCCCCCCCAGAATTTTGGCTTGCATGACGCCCCTGGATATAATTGTGTTCATTCGGCTTTACAAACCTTTCTAAATAACAAAATAAGCACATCAGTGTCAAAAAAGTAATGCAAGCATAGGGCTAAAGTTACAATGAAATTCAAAATGTGAAAAAAATTGCTTTATAATTGATATCTTTTTAAACACCAGATATATTTATTAATTCTTATTCTAAAAGTGTTATTATTATTGATTATTACTAAGTTATTGTAATTATTCAGATGGGGATATTACTTTACTGAAATAAGTCTAATGTATTTGACTGTTTTTATAGCCCCAAGTACAAAATATTGCAATAGCTTTTACATAATATATATATATTTAAACTGGAGCAGCATATATCTGCAGTTTAAATATATCAGACCTTATAGGAATAGATCTCTACTGCCATCATGTGAAGGAAGAATGAACATGGTAACCAAGAGTGAACAAGTAAAATAATCTAAATCTAAATAAAGACATAATACTTCTAATTACACTACAGGTTAAATACTAAAATATGAGGAAGAAAGTGCGTTTAATTTTATAGAGGCATATATCCTGCATATATATTGACAGCACAAACTAGCTTTGCTTCCCATGTTATGGTTTATTGTAAATATATATCATCGTATTACTATTCATACAAAGTTTGCTGGTCCCATGCAGATCTTTAATATCAAAAGCTTAACAATGTTGGCGTTTTTATTTGAGTTAAGGGTCATGCTTCTATTAACCAAGGTACAGCCACACCACATTTACATGCAGTGTTGTTCAAAGTTGCACTCCAGCTTTTGACACGCATCCATCCATCCCATGCTAATATTTTCATGAATCGGCTTGATAAGGAGAACAGGCTTACCACTTTGTGTGCAATAGTGTAGCTCACACTTCAATACGAGAGATAGAGGGGGGGGGGCTGAAGTTGGCTGTTCACAATTAGGTAGATGGGCAATGAAGCGTTAAGTTAGTCTTGACTCTCAGCTTTCTCTCCACATTATTAGATTTTACTCATTGGAGAAGCATGACTGGAGGCACTCAAATCCAATTGGCCCCCATTAGCTGAGGCTTGTGTTCGTTTCTGCTCAGCATGCGCTCCCGTAGCCCTCTCCTCTCCCAGCCAAACACTTCCACATCACCAGCTGTAAAAGCTCCTAAAGTGTCAGCTGCAATCTCCTTCTATGACAGAAATGCACATCTAGTACATTAGTAGTATTGACTGTGAGGTCCGAACCCAGCAACTCAGCCAATTTCATTGAGCAAACTTTTCTGAGCAAACGGCCACAAACCAACAATATAGATCCAATACTGAATAAAACAACCGATTAACATTGCTCCTTTAAGAAACACAGCACAAAAGAAAGAAAACGCTAACAGTAATCATGATGGAAACATAAGCAGTGTGGAATATTAGAATTCAAGTACAGTTTGAGTTATGACTCGTACTCAAATATAAAGAAAAGGAATGAGTTGAGTGAGAAACAAGGAGATATTTAAGTCAACTAGATTCAGTTGTCTGAAATACAGTGTACAGAACACACAACACAAGAGAATTATGGGACATTTCTTCTGGTTTAAACCACCAGATGCAACTAACTGTATTTTTGCCCTTTTTTGAATTATATTTGCTACAATATTTGGTCAGTAATTCTACATTTAGAATTCAAAATAAAATAAAAATGTCACACAGTAGCTGATGTATTAGTATGGTAACAACATTCCCCTCCCTCTAAACTGAGGGAAAGCCATTAGTGTAGTTACAGGATCCCTTAAAATCACAATCTGCACAGTTCTTGACCAAAATAGTATTAACAAACATTCTGCATATCAGGCCTGTTTTTCGACAAGGCGGCCTTGTAGTCTTCTTTTTTGAAAATCTGTAAAGTGTGGCTTTTAAAGGTTATGCGCTTGTTTCCGTTTTGCTATCAGTCTGCTGTGTGAGGCGCACTGCGGGCCGAGTTATTCCACTTTGCTGTACTCCTCCATGTGACCCAGAACTTTCTTCCTCTGGCGCATCATGTGGAAGTAGAGCTGAGGAAATACTGAGGAACACAGACAAAGACGGTCATTAACAGGAACAGTGATGTTCATTCACTGGACAAGAATGAGCTTCAAGAGATTTTGCTACACAAGATCAACTGAGGAATCTGATTATTTACGGATGGAAGATATCAAAACAAAGCATTTCGAGAAAATATGACGTGTAATCTCTCAGTCTAAAAGTTAAAACGTACAGGGGATGTAGGAGATCATGATGAGGATGAGGAAGGTGTGGTAGTCGAAGGAGAAGTTGTACTTGTTAGGCAAGGTGATGGAGTAGAGCCCTGTTTTTTGTACGTATGGAAGCGCGGCGTAGATCGTCAAAAGTTCCCCCGACACTCCCATAGGGTACAGCACAAGAAAAAATGTGTACCTGTGAAGATCATAAAATGTAAAACACTTTTCTAAAAATAAAAAACCAGAAGACTGACTCTGAGAAGCTTCACCTTGCCCATTTGATGAGGTAAGGCAGATGGTTGAGCAGGCTGAAGGTGTAGAAAGAGTAACGGATGATCTCCGTGACCGTCCAGGCCACCACAAAAAGGAGAACACTGTCTTCGCTTTGGACCTAAAACAAAAGCAAACTTTAAGTCACAAGGGGAAGAGACATATCTTCTCAGCAAGCCGCAAAATGTAATCAAGAACCATGCAGTTATGTCTGCTACCATTTCATCGCAATTCACTGAGGCTACTTGACACACAAAGATAGACTACTGAGGACATCAGCACTTCAAAACGCATTCAGGCATGTCAAAGGCTCTAACATCGCCTCTACACACAAACAGGCTTGAAAGGAGGTTATTTTAGCAACAGAAGCGTACACAGGCACACATGGACACTTTGCATATTAGTATTATTCTTTAGTTTTGGGTCAAACAGTTCTCGTTCTCGTAGGAGTAACTTACAGATCTATACACTTCAGCTCAGACGTCTTTCTCTGGGATAGACGATCAAAACCTGATTCTTAGTTACAAAGAACTTTAAAGGTGAATACAATAAATAACATTGTTTTCTTCACACTACAATTCTACTAAGTTTGACATTGAAATATTAAAACAGCTGTTGAAATCCATTAGATCCACTAGATGGCAGTAGACTAGAGCAAACAAGACAAACATGGAAATATTGCTCATTATGGCACAGGGAACATTAATGATAAAGAGCAATTTCAGATCTTTATGGCAGTTGATTACTTGATACTGAATTTCCATAACCAGGTTTTTCTTAACCATGGGAATCCTAATTAGACTTATATCATCCTAATTAATCATAATATCCCATTAGAGTTAGACCATAGGTCACCTGAACTAGTAATGCATCTGTGTTATTGTTAACTAAATATTTTCATTAATTAAATTGAAGCTGAAATAAAAAATAAAAAAAATACATATACTTAAAAAACCTTAAATTAAAAATACTAATAAATACTATAACGTTTTATTCTAAAATGATGCAAGTTAGACATAAACTTACTTCTCTAACGCTGTGTGTCACTGCCCAGGTGAGGAACACCCGTGACATCACTTGAAACCCAGTCAGGACCACCGAGGAGGGAACAATTCCTTCACAAAATTTAGAATGTTAAGTAAAGAGATTAATCATTTGTTTTTTACAGGGTGGGTCTAATCAAAGTAATCATGCAGAGATGAGTTGAAATGGTTTCTATTCTTTCTTTATTTCAATGCATTATACTACACAATAAGACAGAAATTAATCATTATAATAATATAATTTAAGAGAGTAAGGACGGTTATGATATGACAGAGTACTGCAGGACTGGTTGTTTGCACTGGGAAAGGTATATTAAGCTTTAAGTCCCAGATAATGAGGTGTGGACTGTGAACTCTACGCTCCACGGGTGCAGTGAGACTCTATCACATTATCACTGTCAGACTGGCAGAGAAAGCAGCAGCCTTGCTGGCGATGGCACTGCTGGGTTAAAAAAAGCTTCCCTGATATAGACAATCTGATCTATATACTGTGCTGAGTGCATATTTATAGGATAAATTAATAAGAGACTGTTATTAGCAGCTGGTGCACTTACCCATGGCACAATGCAATATCTGTGAAGAGAGCAAAGAACAAATATTATAAGGTGCACTCAGCCTCTAGGAAATATAATTTTTAGCATAAAGAATAATCTAAAACAACTCTGCAGAGTTGAAGAATTACATATATTTACATAATGTGAAATTAGCCAAATAAAATGCCATTATTTCGGTTTGGATTTGGACTGAAATATATATATATATTAGGGCTGTCAAACGATTAATTGCGATTAATCGCATCCAAAATAAAAGTTTGTGTTTACATAATATATGTGTGTGTACTGTGTATAATTATTTTAAATACATAAATACCCACACATGCATGTGTATTTAAGAAATATTTGCATGTATATACTGTATATAGACTGAATGTAGCCTATATATAATGTATATTTTATATAAATATAAACATTTTATATATAAATAACATTTTTCTTAAATATATACATGTGTGCATTTATATACAAAATAATTATACACAGTACACACACATATATTTTGTATACACAAACTTTTATTTTGGATGTGATTAATCGTTTGACAGCCCTAATATATATATATATATATATATATATATATATATATATATATATATATATATATATATATATATATATATATATATATAGTAAATGGTAAATGGACTGCATTTATATAGCGCTTTCACAGACCCAATGGCCACCAAAGCGCTTTACAATTTGCCTCACATTCACCCATTCACTCTCTCATTCATACACCGACGGGCGATTATATATGGTTGTAATCGAAATTATTCAACCCCCATTGCAAATCAGGTTTATTGGAAAAATGTACAGACTTTCAGCAGTTTACAATGAACAAATCCAACAAAAGTAATTGAAATAGCTTAACACAACAAATGTTTCAAGTGGTTTCCCCAAATTCCAAATCAGGTAACTGGTTGCCACTGTAGAATCTTCAAGGACTTCATCAGCAACCAAGCCTTGGTGAAATTTGAGGAATGCTTGGGATCTTTGCCCTGTTGGAAGGTCCAAAGACACCCAAGCTTCAGCTTCCTCACTAACAGCATGATGTTTTCTCCTAGGATTTCCAGATACTTTAATGAATCCATCTTGCCTTCCACACGCTGCAGGTTTCCAGTGCCAGAGGATGCAAAGCAGCCGCAGAACATCACCGAGTCACCACCATGCTTAACTGTAGACAGTGTGTTCTTTTCAGCATATGCTTCATTCCTCTTCCTCCAGACATGCAAATGTTTCATCTCTCCACCAAACAGAATCCCAAAACTTCTGTGGCTTATTTATTTGATTTTGAGTAAATTGGAGCCAACTTTTCTTGTGCTTTTGGGTCAGTAGTGGTGTTCGTCTTGGAGTTCTGGCATACGTTTAGTACGCACCTTACTGTGCAGCTGAAACCTCAGTGCCTGTTGCCACCAAGTCTTGCTGCAGGTCTTTTGCAGTCACTCAAGGGTTTTTCTGAACCTGCCTTCTCAGAAATTTGGTTACAGCCGTTGATAGCTTCCTTTTACCGCCCCGTCCAGGTAGTATAACCACTGTTCCTTTAACTTTGAACTTGCGAACTATGCTTCCAACGGTGTCTCTAGGAACCTTTAGTGCAGTGGTTCTCAATCCTGGTCCTAGGGAGCCACTGCTCTGCACAGTTTGTATGTCTCCCTCATTTAACACACCTGATTCAGATCATCAGCTCGTTAGGAAAGAGCTTTATTAACTGAAGTGGGTGTGTCAGATAAAGGAGACATATAAAATGTGCAGAGCAGTGGCTCCCTAGGACCAAGATTGAGAACCACTGCTTTAGTGCCTTTGCTATCTTTTTGTATCCTGTTCCTTGTTTGTGAAGGGCGATGATATCTTCTCTTAACTTTTAGGACCATTCTTTTGACTTAGTCATATTTCTAACATGCTGTCAAACGTGACACTCAACAAACCTAGCCAGTTCAGATATTTCATGTGTTCTAGCTCAAGCACACCTGGTGCAACTAATGAAGCCCTTAATTAGTTGCATCATGTGTGCTTGAGACAACACCTGCTAAGCAGATTTGTGCTGTTGTCCTTGTAAGAGATTGTATTCAGGGGGTTGAATAATTTTGAGAATGCAGAAGTCATTAAAAATGGCCTTTTCAGTTGAATTTGGGGAAACCACTTGAAACCTTTTTTGAAAGTATTTTTTGCTGTTCAAAAGTTAGGGGTCTGTAAGATTTTTTGTTTGTTTTTGAAACACATTTTACGCTCACCAAGGCATTTATTTAAAACAGCAATATTGTGAGAGATTATTATCATTTAAAATAGCTGATTTCTATTTAATACATTATAAAATGTCATTTATTTCTGTGATGGCAAAGCAAAATTTTCAAAAGCCATTACTCCAGTGTCACATGATGTAAAAGTCTTTACCGTTACTCTTATATTTAATGCGTCAGAAAAGTATTAATACTTTTATAGAAGGCGACTTACAATAATTAATGCATTATTTATCTATACATTTTGATACACATTACACTTGCAAATAAATAAATAGAGCTAAATTCATAATTATGAATGAATGTAAATGAATATAGCTCCCATACAACTCACCTCAAGGAGTGCACCAGTCTGAAAGAATTTTAGGGGCTTCTCTATCGAGTAATAAAGACCATGGTAACTTCCTCTGGCCAGGTATGCTCGAACAAGACCAACTGCAATCACCAGCCATCTAGATAGGAAACGATTCATAGAGTAACTTTGTTGTGCCACTTGCCCTTGCTTTGAGAAAAGAGGGCATTTCTGCAATGCACACAAACGTGGGACTGCATGCAAATCTCTTACAACACAGCACTTAACGGCCAGTAGTGGCATGTAACAGTCTCATTCAAATACATCAAGCACATTTTTATAGCTATTCACATGCATGATGTAGAAAGCATTCAATATAGCTTTTTAATACACTCCAGTTACAATAACGAAATGTGCAGCTGAAGTGATGATGAAGACAGTATCAAAACCATAATACTAGCAGGAGCACAAATCACCAAATTCAGGAAGACTTCAGGAAAAGCTAATAAATGAAACAGCATAACAAACAGGACTGGATTGTAATTGGTTTTCAGATTGAAAATAATACCGTAAATGCACACAGTAAAGGACAACGTTTTTATAGTTAATGTCCATTTGAGATATCATGAAATGGTATCTAACTGATAAGAATCGACTGAATTGAATCAGCAAACTATTCCTGACTGAATTCTGGACTCCAACCTTCTTTTACTGTCTATGACTCCAACAGACATGACGAAAATGTAGCAAACCCTGTTTGGTTACTGCTGATGCAACCTCATTGGGAAGTTCAATTAATTTGAGCGAATCAGGTCTCATTGTTCCTCCTATTCAGTCGAGTGATTTAACGACTCGATTCAAACAAATCGATAAAAATAACTATTACAGAAGAACGGTTCGTAATTTCCAGGCCTGGAAAAGGGATTTAAATCTTAAAAATCATGGAAACTTCTGTGGTGATTTTTTTTTTTTACTAAACATGCTCAGCTGAAAAGTATTTTATCGTTCTGTGTGTATGAGTGCAATCACTAAAAATAAAAACTCAATTCATTGGTCAAAACGCCAATTGATTGATTTAACGCTCGTTCGGATAAATGAAAACCCGGTTCTTCGATTTATTTGAAGCATTATTCAAGTGTTTAAGTACTTGTTTCGACGTTTCACATTTGCAGTAAAATAGATTACTCAATATAAATGTGATAAACAATTATTATTATGTACATATAGATTATATTATCTATATAAAATGTTTCAAATACTGTTGTTTATGGTTCCAACATGTAAACCCATCTCAAAATCCAGACGAGTGATTTATAAACGAATTGGTTCTACTTCTAACAAATCGATTCGGACACCATTGTGCAACAGTTTCGGGGTTACGAAGGTGGACTCGTATTCAAACGGCTGCAATCGATGCCTGAACTGTACAACTACATGTAAATTAACAAAGACAGTAAATTCACTCGTACTTCCATACATGACCAGACCAACGACAGTAATTGAACAGTGCATTCATGCAACCAGCCATGAAGATTCTATGGCGTGTTAAACAAGCGTTAATAGGCTTAACGTTGCCAAAAAATGAATAATTTTTAAACATAATCATTTCAAAATATTTCAATATCAAAACAAACGGTCTTAACCCATTCCATATAAACTCAAAGGGGAGGTAACCGCGATTCTGTCAAGCACTCTGAGTCTGTCTGAAAGCTAACGTTAACCATTCATTCTTTCTTACTGTCACACGCTTGAACAGAGAGCACGGAAGCGCATTTGATTTTCACCATACCCTGCTGTCATAACCACGTTGTAAATGACCAGATAAGCGATGGCCAGCGTGCCGGGTCCCTTTTTCCTTTTGTTACTGGAATCACTGTGCGCTGTTTTGCTGGTCCCCATGGCAGGTGCCGACATGACTGAACTATCATTAGAAAAACTGGTTCATCCAAAGGGTCCCGGTGACTAAAGGCGTGTGGCCTTGCTGACATGTATAGAAGGTGCTGAATGGAGCGCCGCCTGTCGAGGATAGAGTGTAAATGATGTTTTGTTTGTTACATTGCTACAGTTTGGATTCACCTTATTGACGGACATTTACAGCAACAACAAAAAGTAAGGATGACAATAATAAATATAATACTAATTGTAATATTTGAGTTAAATTTTGGATTACAGAGAGCTCACAAACATCTATCCCAGTCGCTAGATGGCAGTGCGGGCTCGAGTTCAGAACGCACTTGCCTTTAAAAGGACTCAATTGTGATGCCTGTCTGAAAAATAGATTTATAAATTCAAAATAAATAAATAATTTAATTAGGTAATTTTGTGGTATTAATATGAAGTCTGAATATAGTTTAAAGTCAACAATGATTTGAAAGCTATGACACGTATGCGATTTCTGACAGGCATTGCCTTTGCTTACTAAGTTTACGGAAGAGCAACTGGTGGAAGTGAACGCAATTTAATGGATGAGAGAAGGAGAAATCGTCGATCTACGTAGATAATACGCTCGAATTTATTCTCTAATAGATAGGAAAAGGTCGAAAAATGCCTTTATTTGGCCAAAATCCGTTCGATCAGGATGTGGGTGAGTTTGACTGTTGTTTTTATCGAAGTGTTGTGATCTTGACAAGTCAACAGGGCCGATACAGCGCTCTGTTTACTGTCATATTATCAAGATCTTTGTTTTCTGTTTTGTTTGTTTCTTTTATTACCCTGATACATTAATATATATCAGAAAGGAGATAATTAATAAAGATTTCAAACGTAAATAATGTAGTTGACCTCATCCTTAAAATAGTCTAAATTCCTGTTAGATGAACATTGAACATTTCAGTTATTCAGCTTAAATACTAACTGTTATCTGTCAGAAAGATTTTTGAGCATTCATTTATTCCTATTTATCCTTTGATATATATGATTCTATCGGTTGATAATACAATATAGTGTAATAAAAGTATATAAAAATGTTAATATAACATTAAATAGTATATTATCTTGCTTATATATTGTATTATTATATAATAAAATCAAAATGCCCTGCTCTTTAAAATTTCTAGATTAAAAAAGTAAAAAAAAAAAAAAATCCTTTTCCAGTAAGCATACATGTACATTGGCTTTATTGTGAATGCTGTGACACTGAATGCTCCTCTATGTGTTTTTTTTTTTACAGTCTATGAGTTTAACACACTTGAGTATTGTTATTTTTATTTTAAGGTGTACTGTACTAGATTTCGCAATGTGATTTTTCCTTTAAGAGTTAGTCATTAAAATGTGCCCAGTTTTGTTCCTGAAGGAGGGGACAAATAATCTATACTAGTGGATTACAGAAATGGCTGTGCCTGTTGTGACAAGCTGAATATGTCAAATAACAGGCAAAACAGGCTGCTTTGTCTGTTTAACGGGACGCACAGAATACTCCTACTTCAGTGGTGTGCGGTGGTGTTTTAAAATGTGGAGGCAAAGTCCTCACTTATACATATCAAATGTAAATTTATGTCCCTGTTACTCTTACTTTTCCTGGTTAAATAAACATTACATAAAAAGAGAGACCATATATAATTCTATTTTGTATTTTTACACTATGTAGGCCTAATGTTTTATTTATTAAAACCATCTCTATAAATTTTATCAAGTTAGTGTCTTACACTTTTTTTACATTTATTCCAAAATAATAACTAAAGGCTAAAGGCTTGTTAACTAATATTCAGCTTTTCTTTTTAATAGTCAACTAATTTTCAGCAGTCATCAAGCTGGTACACACTGGTCACAGACATACATTTAATTTCCCCAAGCTGATTGCTCACTAAAAAACCCTACAGTCATCTTGTTTTCAGGCCATTTTAAGTTTGATTTTGGCATGACATAAAGCAGTAATATCTAAGTGGCTGAGTTGTTTATTTACTTTTTTAATTAGCCTTCCCATTAACACCATCATTGTCTTCATCCTGGCTGAATCGAGAGCGTGCACGAAAACAAGAGGCAGGATTTATCGCACAAACCAATCATAACCAATCATATCCAATCATAGGCATTGTCTCCTCTCACGTTACTTTCCCCCATTCATTCTCAATTACCCCCACTAAACCTCTGCACGCTTTGGGGGGCCTGTTAAAAGCCAATGGGCTCAGGGGAGGCAAGCATGTGTGTGTCACTGTTGGACAGTGTTACTTTATAAAAACAAGTGACTTACACTTTTTAATGTCACATTTTGTAATATTTGCGTTTTTGTAGTATCGAATCGATAATTTTTTCATCCAGATTTTAAGAGGAGAGACTGCATTGCCTCCTCAGAGGAAACACTCCTGTCAAACTTTCTAACTACTTAACAAACACTTGTCCTTCCTATAAATTTTTATTTTATTTATTTTTTACAAATTGTTCTATTTTGTATTGTGTTTGTGTATTTTCTGTTTTTATTGCCTTTATATAAATGAAAGGACGTTTAGACATACAGAGTCAGAGACTTTGACTCCCTTTCAGAATTTCAGCATTGATATGACACCTTTCATTGAGAGTCTCATTTGGATGCTCATTTGCCTTTTCAGAGAAAGCAACTAGTGAAACTAGCACAGCAGAGGACTGGGGCCTCATTATGGATATCTGTGACCGGGTTGGGACAACTCCAAATGGGTGAGCTGAAATATCAGCATACAAACAAGATTTGAATAACTATCCCCTGGTTTAACAGACGAGGCTTAAGCCTAGTCTCAGACTAAAATGTATGTTTGAGCTGTTTTAACTGAAAGCAACTTGCACCGACATTATCTTAAAATATGTCAGTGTCATTGTTTTGTCTCAAGATTCACACCAGTAATGTTTTTTCTAAGGCACGTTTATAAAAGCTACTTAAATGTCCTAATTGAACCAAGGCTTAATTGGCTTAAACTAAACCCTCTCTGTGAAACTGGGCCTATATATTTTTTTAATGTTTATTTTAGTAACATTTAGTAACATGAATGTAGCTTGAATGCATTATTGTTTTTCTTATATAGGTTTCTCCCTAATACAGATATTATCGTGCCTCTCTTTGTCGTTTTCACTCTTTTTCTTTTATAGTGCAAAGGACTGTCTCAGGTCAGTCATGAAGCGAGTGAACCACAAGGTCCCTCACGTCGCTATGCAAGCGTTAACGGTGAGCTCTTCATCTTCAGTTCCCATTGTAGTAAAACAGAGGTGCAGCCACAAGGGTGTATACAGTCCAGAAAACAGTCATATGGGTTGTCACAGTTTTGACGTTCTTGGGAATATGAATCGGTGAATGGCTTGCGTATAGTCACTGCACACTAAACTGGGATAGAAGCATCTGGAAGTGACAGGCATCTCTGTGGGCAGAGTTATCGTACCCTTCGAAGATTTCTCACTCTATTTTTAGATCTTCTCTAATTCTTTCTCATCTGGATGTAATTTTTCAAAAGTGAATTACATGGGTATTACAAAAGAAAGTAATGGGTTGATATGCCCTTTTTTTCTTTTTCTTTTTTTTTTAGTTATTGAATTTGTCAATAATTATTTATTTTTGTTGAATGTTACAAGTGTGCAGTAATAGTTATTATTATTATTAATCTGTATTAAGGTATTACATTTCATTTACACATATTTAAAGTATAAACGGTTATAGAAATGTTACAAGTGTGCAATAATAATTATTATTCATCTTTATTATGATGTCACATTTCATTTAAACACAAATGATAAACAGTTATAGAAATGTTACATGTGTGCAATAATAACAATAATTAATATTATTAATCTTAATTATGATATCACATTTTATTTACAAATATTTATAGTATAGATAGTTATAGAAATGTTACAGGTGTGCAATAATAACAGTAATTATTATTATTCTATAATCTTTATTGTGATGTCAAATTTCATTTACACATATTTAAATTAAAAACAGTGATAGAATTGTTAAATGTGTGCAATCACTGTTTGTATAGAACATTTCAATGAATCGATCAAACATGTTCACAAATTGGCAAATCTGTATTTTAAGCAAATAATAGCTGTTCAAATATTGCTGTATTTTCCCTGTTTAGTTGCTAGGTGCCTGCGTCTCAAACAGTGGAAAAATATTTCACCTAGAAATCTGCTCGCGGGAGTTTGCCAGTGAAGTTCGTAGTGTGTTGAACAAGGTAAGGAACTGCAGCTTGCTGTATAAATATTAGTGTAATTCTATTCATTAAGGCAAATCCTGGTTTCAGAGTACAATAAATATTGATAATTGTCTCTATCCTCTTGCTCTTCCCCTCAGGTTCACCCAAAGGTTGGTGAGAAACTGAAGGCCCTGATGGTGGAGTGGGCCGAAGAATTCCAGAAAGACCCGCAACTGAGTCTCATCAGTGCCACCATCAAGTCCCTCAAAGAAGAAGGAGTCACCTTTCCCACAGCAAACACCCAGGTAGGTTACACTTTATTTCGATGGTCCACTTTAGACATTCTACTAACTATGAGTAACTTTGCAACTGCATGTCAACTAACTCTCATTAGACTGTTAGGTTAGGTTTAGGTGTTTGGGTTAGTAGAATAAGTTGACATGTACTTGCAAAGTTACTTAGGGGCTGTTTACACCTGGCCACTTCATGCGTTTTGTCAGATCGGATAGCTATCTGATTTATCAAAACGATTCCATTTACACCTGGTCACATAAATGTGTTTTCGCAAAACGGATATAAATCCGATCTTCAATTCCCGCGCTATATGCAGATTTAATGGAGTGCACGTCACCGAAAGCAACAGATATGAGCTGCATTTTATTGATCATCAGCTAAAATTTCAAAATCAAAGACCGCAATAAGAGAGAGCGGCAACAGCCCTGGTAAGATCATTTCGTTTCTTTACTTTTAATGAAGATGATTAAGATGATTGTGTGTTAAGTGTCTGCGACTTACTTTCACTTTGATTCGCGATAGTTTGCACGTTGGCTTGATGAATAGATGCTCAGCTGCTCATCTGCGGCGATGCGTGTTGCTGTAGCGTCGTCATATCTGGCTATAACATGACATATAGCCTATAACACGCTCTCACAAGTTTATTTTTAGCATACCAGTCATTAGAGCATTAGCATACTCTAATGACTGGTAGTTGACATTTAGTTGCAAAGTTACATATAGTTAGTACGATGCCTAAAGTGGACCATCGAAATAAAGTGTTACCCCCAAGAATTCCTACTATCAACTAATAACATGATCCTGTTGGATCTCACTGTGATCTCAGCTGTTCATAAACACAGATGCTGATGAACAGATATCAGCCGCTGGTATTTGGCCTAGATAAATGACCATGAAACTTGGCTAAGTTTTAAATTCATAGTGACTTTTTACATCCCAGATCAGCATAGTTCATTCGTTATTCAGTTTGTTTTTCTGTACTGGTAAGGTCACAGAAATCTGTGACAGATGTTTCTGTGTCTCCTTGTTGTCATGCCATGGCATGTATGCAATGTAGGTCATTACAATGTTGTTTTGAAGTTTCTGTGGCTGTTAATATCAGATATTTGCATCATAAAGTGTAAGAAAATATGGTTACACTTTATTTTAAGGTGTCAGTGTTACAGTGTAATTATACATTTAAGTACTGAGTAATAATAATTAACTACATGTACTTTTAATAGTTATTACTACAGTAACTAACTACATGTAACATGTAACAAGGACACTGTAAAATATTTTTACATATGTATGTTTGTTGTCGTTGGTTTTAATTATTATTATATTATATAATTACTGTATATCATACCTAAAGTACCAATACACTACCCTTCAAAAAGTTAGGATCAGTAATAAGGATTTTTTTTTTTTGCTTTTGCTTTTTTGGAAAGAAACTAATATTTTAATTCAGCAAGAACACATTAAATTGATCAAAAGTGACAGTAAAGCAATGTATAATGTTACAAAAGATTTCTATTTCAAATAAATGCTGTTCTTTCAAACTTTTATTAATCAAACAAAAAAGATATTACAGTAATGACTGCTGAAAATTCCGCTTTGCCACAAAAGAAAAAGATTTAACTAGAAAACAGTTATTTTAAATTGTTATAATATTTCACCATACATTTCATTTCATACATTTGCCAACCTAAGAACTACTTGCAGTGTTATGGGCAAAACCTGAAATAGTACGGTTGATTTAATTTTTTCTTGTGAGCTTTTTTTTTTATTTTTTTTTTTATAACTCTCTTTTGTTTTGGTCAGTCTTTGAAAAAGAGTTTTTAAAGATATTAAAAGTACAATAAGAACCACCTCTGTATGAGAATTGGATTATAAATTAAACATGGCTGCTTCTGAAAACGCATACTCTCTTGACTAGGTACATATTTTTAATACTTTGCAAGCACTAAAAAAGTATGTTCTAAAGTCTGAATGTGTTTAGTATGAATCGCCATGTTGTCATTATCATGTGACCTGCAGTGTCACTTCACTGCCATTCATAAATCCTCTCCCATGTCCTCATGGGACAGTAAAGTTTCCTTCATATATGCACTTCTGAATCTCGCCCAGAAGTAATAGGTTATCCAAGTTCTTTTTGCCTACTCTTATGAGTACTGTTAATTCGTGCATACTTTTTTGGGTCACATACTGTTTTTTGCCTACGATATATAGTAAGGAAGTATGTGATTTCAGAAGCAGCCATGTGACTAAACATGACCACTGTTTCTCACATGACATGTCTGTTAACACTTTAGCTATTTGTATAAATCAGCCAAGTGCTTCTGGAATGCTAAAGCATGTGTGTAAACTAGAGACAAGAGAACCAAGCGGCTAGAATGGAATTTCCTGCCTCATATTTCCCTTACTGACCTCATGGCACCATGAGATGTCAATTCTTCTTTGTTCTCTTTCTCCTCCATTTATTGTGTTAGACTACAGGATTAGTGCATGTGAACATTTCTGTATCTGTTAATAAGTGCCAACTATGTAAAATAGGTCACAAGAATTTACTGTTGTCACTCAAAGGTCATCATATTTACATGTTATATCAAAAACCTACTTATGTAAATGGATTGTGGCGGAGTCATTGGTTAACTGTATCTGATCAGTGTCAGTGTTTTTGCTTCTATTTTTTTTCTTTGGTATTTACTGTAGTACATCTATAGATGGCGTTATAGTTCTGTGTTCATTCATATACTGTACACACAGCTGTTATATATACAATAATGTATAATAATATTATATTTTATACACTATTATTCAAAGGTTTGAGTTAAGCAAGTTTAAGAAATTAAATCTTTTATTCAGCAATGATGCACACTTTATGCAATCCAACACACCTGCGAACTTCAGGCGTGTGCATGTGATATTGTAACGTGCCGTGCGTAAGGGGAGAGGGGGATCTGTGGCGTGTGCATGAACTGTGATTGACAGTCAGATCTCACGCAGCCCTGCGCTGATTGGACCAGAAGAACCGGGAGCGGTGGATTTTTGTAAAACAAATAACAGGCTCTAGGTGGAGGTAGAAGCGCGGGTTTTTTTCTAAAACCGGCTGATTTATGTTGTTCTGTCGGAGCATAGTTTCGGTTTCAGTGAATATGATCAAAGAAATCTTGCAGACTGCAGCATTAAAGACATACAGTAAAGACATTTATAATGTTATGAAAGATTTCTATTTCAGATAAATTTAACATTCTATTCATCAAAGAATCCTGAAAAAATGTATGTCAAATGATTTATTAAGCAGCACAACTGTTTTCAACTGATAATAAGAAATGTTTCTTAAGCAGCAAATCAGCATACTAGAATGATTTCTGTAGGATCGTGTGACACCGGAGTAATGATGCTGAAAATTCTGCTTTGCATCACTGGAATAAATTTACATTTTAAAATCTATTAAAATATAAATCAATTTAGATTCTAATATTTCACAGTCTTAGTGTTTTCACTGTATTTAATAAATAATAATAAATGCAACATTGGTGAGCATAAGAGACTTCTTTCCGACCCCAAACCTTTGAATGGTAGTGTAGTATATGCATATAATATATACTTTATTATTGAAGTAACTTTTTTGCAAATCAGTGCTGATCTGTTATCATGTGATCTGTAATTGCAGAGTTCTAGCACTAAGCCTATTAGCACTCCTGCCACCAGCAGAGCCCCTAATGATGATGACCTGGCCAAAGGTGAGGAATGTTGTTCATAACTTTAGAGTTTTTTGATATTAGGGTTTATTTAGTCTGATCTGACAAATGATTTTGGGGCCCTGCCAAAGCATCATAAATTATTTGCCATTGTAACTGTGGATTCAAACCATAGTCTTCTTTACCCAGATAACGAGTGTTTGTATTTTTCTCCGTGCAGCAATTGAGCTGTCCTTACAGGAACAGAAACAGCAGGCAGAGACACGACCCCTCACCATGATAGCTGATCCACCCTACAACACAAATGGAGGGAAAGAGTCACGTAAAGTGCGCGCACTCTATGATTTTGAAGCGGCTGAGGACAATGAACTCACTTTTAAGACTGGAGAGCTTGTGCTCATTCTAGATGACAGGTAAACTGATTGTTCAAGGGCATTATTTTAATCAGTGTTGAATAAATATTGTGTTATATTATAAAATTAAATAATTTATAATATAATTAAATAATTTATTTAATAATAATAAAAATAATTTAAAAAAATATATTTTATTTAATTGTTTATGCTGTCTTTAAATTTCCCATATCCCATATTTTGTTGGTTGTCCATTATTAAATTGTAATGTTGCTATTATCCAACAGTGATCCAAACTGGTGGAAAGGAGAGAATCATCGAGGAGTAGGCCTATTCCCTTCTAACTTTGTCACCACCAACCTGAATGCTGAACCAGACCCTGGTAATACACTTTATAACCTGGATGATTTGTTTTCTACTCAAATTGCACACACAGACCTCCTGAATTCTCTTTCCTGTAGTGATGTATGTAGAGAAGACAGTAGTCCCAGAAGAGCCCATCGTTGAAGTCAAAGCTGAACCTGAGCCTGTGTATATAGATGAGGTGAGTGCTGGATGATCTTTGGGTGACTCGGCCACACCTCACCACTAATCTAGAAGTAACTGATATGAAAAACAGGCTCTAGATGAAGTTTGAAGTGTCTAATATTGATTGTTGTTTTCTACAGGAGAAGATGGACAAAACTCTCTACCTTCTCCAGAACACAGACCCTGCAGATGCCACACCTGACATCCCAGAGCTGATCACATTAGAAGGTACCAGGATGTCTTTAATGTCTTCTCTGCTGAAATCAATTGCATTTTAGGTGCAGGGGTGGGTGGTACAGACAAAATATGACCAACTCTTTTCACAGACTGTGATGACTGGTTTCCATAGTTATTAAAGTCAGCATGTAACTAAAGTTGAGAGAGTCTTTTCTTCCCTATTGTGACGTATATCCTAGTGAAACGGCTTATTGAACAAGAAATGATGTAGGACAGGACTTGATTTTTTGATTGGATTGATGTGGTTTGCTTAGCTGTGATCTCATGTAAGTGACAGGACAATTGTCAGCAGAGTGACAATTCTGATTCCTTTTTATGATGAATTTCTAAATTGTACTACAATGAGGGACCTGCGCAATTAGGTGTTGATTTGTATTAAACATTCGGGATAAGAAAGTCGGGATTGTGCTCTGTGTAAACTAACACTGGGGTACAATTCGCCTTTGCCTAAGCCACACCCTAGAATATAGATTGACCAATCACAGCGCAGCCAATAACGAGCTCCCACAGTGGTCCGACACTTTTTCACAGCGCTCCATTGACTTCAACACAGGCGTCTCATGTTTTTGGTCTCGGCAGGCTATTACCTTCGTAGTTTTATCAAAAATATGGTTAAACGTTGTGCCTGGGGCATTTGTAACACAGATACGCGTTTCCCAGAGAGGTTGGAGGGGAGCGTCCGTTTTTTCCCCTTCCCAAAACCGAAGTCAAATCCTGACAAGTGTCGTCTAGCACACGCTGCTAATAAATACAATGTTATACTCGCGTAGTCCGTTTGCTTTGTAATAACGATTATAGAAGACCTACCCACAGTACCCAGCTTTGCATGAACAGTGTTGCTCCTTGATATTGTTAGTCCCAGCCTCCGTCTCGATTAGTAGGATATGCGGTGGTTCATTTTTTGACTGTGACCGGTATGATTTTGCCTCTATTTGGAGGCCTTGTTGTTCCTTGCGTTTCACCTGTATGTCGTGAATATAGCCTTCGAATGTATATTGCAGCCCCTTTTGCCTACTTCTATCGGACACTTTATTTGCTGCTTTATAAAAGTTTGATAAAATTTCAGCAGGAAGAGCTGTCACAGCATAAGCCATGTTGATACCAGAGCCCAGATGAAGTTTGTTTGTCGGACGTAGCAACAGTAACTAAGGGGGGCGGGGCTTAGCCAAAGGCGAATTACCTCCAACATGTGTTTTGTCACTGTTGTCATATGTTGTACACAAGTTTTGACAGTTCCGCTGGGTAAATGATGATCAACCCGATTCCAGTGTGTTAATCTTTTGTTCTCTTCATCTTCTAGATGCTTGTGAAAAGATGAACCCAATGATTGATGAGAAACTAGAAGAGATTGACAGGTTTGTTGAAATCAAAACTTACCCCCAAACCAAGCTGCCTGTTTTCCCAGTCTTGGCATATGAGAAAGAACATCTCTCTCATTCCCGCAGGAAGCACTCAGAGTTGTCCGAGCTGAATGTGAAGGTGCTGGAGGCTCTGGAGCTGTATAACCAGCTAATGAATGAGGCTCCACTTTACAATGCATACTCCAAAATGCAGACTATCCAAGGCACTTACCCAGGAGCCCCTACACCTCTCACTATGCAGGTTGGTCTAGCCATCTAAATGGAACATTAGTGGCAATTCAGTCCATGATATTTTCTAACATAAAAATTCTGATTTTTTTCTTCCAAAGCATTATTCTGATTTCTTTCTTTATTTCTTGTCTCTCTCAGGGTTATCAACCGTCTGGAGCCTACATGTCTTCTGGTGTTCCACAGGGCTATAGTCTTACGGACCAAGCTGGCCCTCTCTGCTCTCTTCCTCCTTCAGTCAATTCAGCGGCCCCCAGCCAACCAGCACAACCTCCTTACATCAGGTAATATAAACTAAAGGTGTCTTGCTAGCCTCCCTCTAAATCTCAAACAACTTTTGCCTGCTCTACATGTATATGAATATTTCTTAAATCCTGTCCACACCAACAGTGAATCAGGACATATCTATTAATGCTCGACCAATATACAGTATCACCAGGGCTGATATATATTGGTCGATATTTGGCATTTTTTTAATTATCGCATTAGTTAAGTTTTTCTTTTTGGCTGATAACTGTCAGTAGCAGAACTTTTGTTTGGAAAGCCCTGATAACTTCTGCTCCTGAGTGCAAATGCACAGGAGCTTTCATTCGCAGTCTTCGCTAGTTACTGTCTTTGTTTAACAGTTCTGTCTAATTATAGAAAGGCAAATGCTATAATACTTTTTTCATATACTGTCGGCATTCAGCAAGTACACATTTTATATCATTTAAACAAGCGTATCTAATAAACATTTAAGTCCACATACTTCTAGTGAATCCTGCTGTTAGATCTTCTGAAGTGCTCCAGTATTAGTGGAAGTGTAGCCTGCGTAAAAACCCAAACGCATGTATTCAGTGCGTGATGGTGCATCTGTGCAAAGGATTGTTTTGTTGTGTATTTCTTTTTTTAATTAGAAATTTTCTTTGATTTTTCAATAACACAAACACACACCTATACACACACACACACACACACATATACTGTATATATACAGTGTCTCACAAAAGTGAGTACACCCCTCACATTTCAGCAAACATTTTAGTATATCTTCTCAAGGGACAATACTATAAAAATGAAACTTGGATATATTTTAAAGTAGTCAATGTGCTGCTTTAATAGCAGTATACACTCACCGGCCACTTTATTAGGTACACCTGTCCAACTGCTCGTTAACACTTAATTTCTAAGCAGCCAATCACATGGCGGCAACTACGTGCATTTAGGCATGTAGACATGGTCAAGACAATCTCCTGCAGTTCAAACCGAGCATCAGTATGGGGAAGAAAGGTGATTTGAGTGACTTTGAACGTGGCATGATTGTTGGTGCCAGAAGGGCTGGTCTGAGTATTTCAGAAACTGCTAATCTACTGGGATTTTCACGCACAACCATCTCTAGGGTTTACAGAGAATGGTCCGAAAAAGAAAAAACATCCAGTGAGCGGCAGTTCTGTGGGCGGAAATGCCTTGTTGATGCCAGAGGTCAGAGGAGAATGGCCAGACTGGTTCGAGCTGATAGAAGGGCAACAGTGACTGAAATAACCACTCGTTACAACCGAGGTATGCAGCAAAGCATTTGTGAAGCCACAACACGCACAACCTTGAGGCGGATGGGCTACAACAGCAGAAGACTCCACCGGGTACCACTCATCTCCACTACAAATAGGAAAAAGAGGCTACAATTTGCAAGAGCTCACCAAAATTGAACAGTTGAAGACTGGAAAAATGTTGCCTGGTCTGATGAGTCTCGATTTCTGTTGAGACATTCAGATGTTAGAGTCAGAATTTGGCGTAAACAGAATGAGAACATGGAACCATCATGCCTTGTTACCACTGTGCAGGCTGGTGGTGGTGGTGTAATGGTGTGGGGGATGTTTTCCTGGCACACTTTAGGCCCCTTAGTGCCAATTGGGCATCGTTTAAATGCCACGGCCTACCTGAGCATTGTTTCTGACCATGTCCATCCCTTTATGGCCACCATGTACCCATCCTCTGATGGCTACTTCCACCATGTCACAAAGCTCTAATCATTTCAAATTGGTTTCTTGAACATGACAATGAGTTCACTGTACTAAAATGGCCTCCACAGTCACCAGATCTCAACCCAATAGAGCATCTTTGGGATGTGGTGGAACGGGAGATTCGCATCATGGATGTGCAGCCGACAAATCTGCGCCAACTGTGTGATGCCATCATGTCAATATGGACCAAACTCCCTGAGGAATGCTTCCAGCACCTTGTTGAATCTATGCCACGAAGAATTGAGGCAGTTCTGAAGGCAAAAGGGGGTCCAACCCGTTACTAGCATGGGGTACCTAATAAAGTGGCCGGTGAGTGTATATTTACTGTCCTCTGAAAATAACTCAACATACAGCCATTATTGTCAAAATATCTGGCAACAAAAGTGAGTACACCCTAAGTGAACATGTCAAAACTGTGTCCAAAGTGTCCAAAATATTTTGTGTTAGCACCATTGTTATCTAGCTCTGCCTTAATCCTCCTGGCCATGGAATTCACCAGAGATGCACAGGTTGTTGCTGGGATCCTCTTTTACTCCTCCATAATGACATCACGGAGCTGCTGGATGTTAGTCACATGGCGCTTCTCCACCTTCCGCTTGAGGACGCCCCACAGGTGCTCAATAGGGTTCAGGTCTGGAGACATACTTGGCCACTCCATCACCTTCACCTTCAGCTTCCTCAGCAAGGCAGTTGTCATCTTGGCGGTGTGTTTGGGGTCGTTATCATGCCGTTCGGCCCAGTTTCTGAAGGGAGGGCATCATGTTCTGCTTCAGAATGTCACAGTACATGTTGGAATCCATGTTTCCCTCAATGAAGCGCAGCTCCCCCTTACCAGCAGCACTCATGCAGCCCCAGACCATTGAGGCCAGCAGGGGGTGCTCTCCCTGTGGTCTGTGTGGGTCCTAACGCCCCAGTATAGTGACGGGGACACTATACTGTCAAAGAGCACCGTCCTTCGGATGAGACGTTAAACCGAGGTCCTGACTCTCTGTGGTCATTAAAAATCCCAGGATGTCTTTCGAAAGAGTAGGGGTGTAACCCCGGCATCCTGGCCAAATTTGCCCAGTGGCCTCTGTCCATCGTGGCCACCTAATCATCCCTATATACTAATTGGCTTTATCACTCTGTCTCCTCTCCACCAGTAAGCTGGTGTGTGGTGGGCGTTCTGGCGCAATATGGCTGCCGTCGCATCATCCAAGTGGATGCTGCACATTGGTGGTGGTTGAGGAGATTCCCCCTTCTATGTGAAGCGCTTTGAGTGCCTAGAAAAGCGCTATATAAATGTAATGAATTATTATTATTATTACCACCACCATGCTTAACTGTAGGCAAGACACAATTTTCTTGGTACTCCTCACCAGGGCGTCACCACACATGCTGGACACCATCTGAGCCAAACAAGTTTATCTTAGTCTCATCAGACCACAGGACATGGTTCCAGTAATTCATGCTCTTGGACAGGTTGCTTTCAGCGAACTGTTTGCGGGCTTTCTTGTGAGCCAGCTTCAGAAGAGACCTTCTGAGACGACGACCATGCAAACCGACTTTTTGCAGTGTGCGGCGAATGGTCTCAGCACCGACAAGCTGACCTTCCGCTTCTGCGACCTCTAAATCAATGCTGGCAGCACTCATGCGTCTGTTTTTTTGAAGCCAGCTTCTGCACCTGACGCACAGCATGAGGACTCAGGCCTGTTCCAAGTGGAACCCGTCTTGGAAAACCTCTGTATGACCCTGGCCACTGTACTGTAACTCAGTTTCAGGGTGTTACCAATCTTCTTATAGCCTAGGCCATCTTTGTGGAGAGCAACAATTCTAGTTCTCAAATCCTTAGAGAGTCATTTGCCATGAGCTGCCATGTTGAACATCCAGTGGTCAGTATGAGAGAATTGCACTCAAAGCACAAATTTTAACTGCTCTAATACAAGATACAACAATTTGTATGGTCCTGTCAAGCAGACAAAAACATGAACATGATGAATAGTGGCTTTGCAAGGTTAAACATGTGGCTTTGCAAGGTTAAACGACGTACAGCTATTATCACTTAGGGGTGTACTCACTTTTGTTGCCAGCTATTTTTACAATAATGGCTGTATGTTGAGTTATTTTCAGAGGACAGTAAATATATACTGCTATACAAGCAGGACATTGACTACTCTAAAATACACTCACCGGACACTTTATTAGGTACCCCATGCTAGTAACGGGTTGGACCCCCTTTTGCCTTCAGAACTGCCTCAATTCTTCGTGGCATAGATTCAACAAGGTGCTGGAAGCATTCCTCAGGGAGTTTGGTCCATATTGACATGATGGCATCACACAGTTGGCGCAGATTTGTCGGCTGCACATCCATGATGCGAATCTCCCGTTCCACCACATCCCAAAGATGCTCTATTGGGTTGAGATCTGGTGACTGTGGAGGCCATTTTAGTACAGTGAACTCATTGTCATGTTCAAGAAACCAATTTGAAATGATTAGAGCTTTTTGACATGGTGGAAGTAGCCATCAGAGGATGGGTACATGGTGGCCATAAAGGGATGGACATGGTCAGAAACAATGCTCAGGTAGGCCGTGGCATTTAAACGATGCCCAATTGGCACTAAGGGGCCTAAAGTGTGCCAGGAAAACATCCCCCACACCATTACACCACCACCACCAGCCTGCACAGTGGTAACAAGGCATGATGGTTCCATGTTCTCATTCTGTTTACGCCAAATTCTGACTCTAACATCTGAATGTCTCAACAGAAATCGAGACTCATCAGACCAGGCAACATTTTTCCAGTCTTCAGCTGTTCAATTTTGGTGAGCTCTTGCAAATTGTAGCCTCTTTTTCCTATTTGTAGTGGAGATGAGTGGTACCCGGTGGAGTCTTCTGCTGTTGTAGCCCATCCGCCTCAAGGTTGTGCGTGTTGTGGCTTCACAAATGCTTTGCTGCATACCTCGGTTGTAACGAGTGGTTATTTCAGTCACTGTTGCCCTTCTATCAGCTCGAACCAGTCTGGCCATTCTCCTCTGACCTCTGGCATCAACAAGGCATTTCCGCCCACAGAACTGCCGCTCACTGGATGTTTTTTCTTTTTCGGACCATTCTCTGTAAACCCTAGAGATGGTTGTGCGTGAAAATCCCAGTAGATTAGCAGTTTCTGAAATACTCAGACCAGCCCTTCTGGCACCAACAATCATGCCACGTTCAAAGTCACTCAAATCACCTTTCTTCCCCATACTGATGCTCGGTTTGAACTGCAGGAGATTGTCTTGACCATGTCTACATGCCTAAATGCACTGAGTTGCCACCATGTGATTGGCTGCTTAGAAATTAAGTGTTAACGAGCAGTTGGACAGGTGTACCTAATAAAGTGGCCGGTGAGTGTATATCCAAGTTTCATTTCTATAGTATTGTCCCTTGAGAAGATATACTAAAATGTTTGCTAAAATGTGAGGGGTGTACTCTCTTTTGTGATATACTGTATATATATATATATATATATATATATATATATATATATATATATATATATAAACAGTATGTATATATATATATATATATATATATATATAGTATCAGTTGAAGTGGATATATGTACTTGTCTTAGGACAACTTTGATGAACTTTTTTGATCCACTTTATATGTTGACTACTGTATATATATATATATATATATAAATATACATATAAAGGTAGAATAGTACATGAAATAAAACATTTGAATTCAGTAAGAAAGTGCCAAAGGGAAAACCAAGTGCGGCAAAAAGTATCGGATCTGTACAAATGATTTATTAATGATATATTATTTTAGTAAATATTACATACAATAAATATACATTTCTTTGCAGCGGCCACATGAATGCACAATACGTGAACCAAGCTCCTGGAGCCCCTTACCCGCCACAGATGGGCGTGGCTATGGACATGTCTGCCTATCAGAACGCTAATCCTGGTCTGCCTCCAACCTCCTATCCCATGTCAGCTCCAGCCCAGCAGCAACAAGCGGCCTTCTACCAGCAACCCCTTCTGTAAGACTGTACGACAGGTCCGACTCCACAGCAATTAATATCCAATGCAAATTCCAAATGGTGAAATGAGGTCGAGAGCATTTTCCTCTCTCGTCTCTATTGATGTCAAGGGGTATGCAAAGATTCGCTGACATTTGTCTTCGCAGGACAGAGATGTAATCCACTCGAAAGGAAGCAAGCATTTCTTTTTCTCTCCCACTCATTAACCCATTAAGCAGTTTAGGGCAGGTGTTCAGAATTGATGGAACGAGTCACACTAACCATAAACATAATTTTCATCATCTTGTGATCATCACCAGCATATTCGTCTTTTTTTCTGATTGTGAATTTAAGACTAAATGGTAAAATGCACATGCATGATATTATTCTTCATTTGAAGAGACAATTCTTTAAGACTTATGATTAATTGTTGCCATTTTCCATTTATTTCTGGGTTAACTGACTTAAGATTAATTTCTTGGCTTTCTAAAGCAAATGTGGGTGTTTTATCGATGGCATTGTGCGTTATAGAGAGGACAATTGAATGAAGAAGATTATACATGGATCACCAAATCTGGAATGATTTTATGTGCCAATACTTGAGCACTTGTATAAACTCTTAAAATCAAATTGGCAGTTTTAGTTTCAACACGCTGTTAGTGATTCCAGAATTATGGGACAGATTTAGTTGGTGCAACCAAATGCTAGAGACTTTCATGTAATATTCATAAATTCCTTTACAACCTGTGCTTTAGAACTGACAGTGGTCACAAATGCAATCCCTTTATGGTCAATCCATATGTTTCACTGTATAATGATATTTATAATATGCAAGAACCGCTTGTGTTTGGATTGTGGGTGTTTGCTGTTGTTTGATTTAATTTAAGCATGTAAAAGTGCAAACAGTATAATTTTCATCTGGTCTATAATTTCCTCTGCTGGAAATGATTGATTAATTGTTGTTTTTTTGCTTCTTACATAAGTGAAGAAATGTGCTTTGCTGATGTGCTCAGCCATTTCTCCTTAACTGAAGTGAGCAAATGTATAATTCCCTTACCATATAGACGGCTTTCATTCGTGTTAAAATGGGATTAATGTAGTAAAATATAGATGAAAATTGTCTTTATTTTTTTTCATAATCTGCTCGAAAAAAGATATTGTATATTAGTTGTTAAATAAATGGCTTTGTCTGTATTGCACCTTAACTTTATAAACATTTATTTACCACCAGATGCCTTGTTCTTTCACGAGACCGAATAAACATAAAAACCAATTCAAAAGACTTTATTTCAGAAGCTGCTGTATATTTGTAAACCTGTATGTTTTAAGAGATTTAGAGGGAAATCTGTATTGTACTCATGGATTCAATGTTTTGTAACATCAAGATTTCTTTGTATCCTGCCTGCTCATTTTTCAAAATTCTTTTTGTAACACAGTGAACTGTTAAAGTCTTCAGAAAATAAAAACTACCTGTTTCAGAGGTTGCTTTTCTGTGGTGGATACTTTCCCAGCCTTCTCCCAATCTCGTTTTGGAGATGCTGAATGTTTATATTTATTAAACATAATTTGTGCATAAAATGCACCGGTTATTTTCTGAAAAATCTTCTTGCTAAGTTATGCACAGCTGATATCCTACTAATCATCAACCTCATGGGTGAATCCTTCCTCAAAGGGTCTGTTAAAAAGGCAACAACTGATATGATAGAGATCCCCTACAATTTAGCATTTCCTTATCAGCTTTTTGTGGAGGCAGCACACAAGTTAAAAAATATGCCCTTCGGTTATTCTCTTGGTTTTCATCTGATATGCTGATGAATCTATACATAGGAGGACGCTTTACAGAGTGTGTTGCAACAGGCCACTGAGTCCGTAATATTGGCATTTTTAAAATGGGTCACTTTATAGTGTAGTCATTTATGTATTTAGAAACAGAACAGCATGTCTCCTAGAGTTAGGCTACTAAAGGTATGAATCTGGTTGTATTGACTTCCAATCTTTTACAACTTCAATTAACAAACAATAGAAAACAGCCAACAATACTGACAAAATGTATAAAAAAAAATTATATCACCTAAAAAATACATCACCTTTACTTGTCACATTGAATAGCAGCTGTTTTTTTTCTCTCAACTATTTATGTCATTTCAACTTAAATTACATTAAAAAAGTGTTGAATCTTGTATAACTTGTAAAAAAAGTTGAATATTGTTTGTAAAAAGCAATGTAAAAACATGATGTCATAACTTATTGATCATATATTTTTTACAGTGCTGTTGTGAGATTGTCATTTTTTAAAATTCATTTAATTATTTAATCATTTTGCTGAATAAACATTTTTTACTAAATGGTTTGACAACTACCAAACACTTTGTATAAAATTACATAAAAAATATTTTTTTATATATTATAATTTGAGAATCTCATATTTTAAGATTTTAAATGTGAAAAGTAAGTGCTAATTTTTTTTAATTAAAATTATGCTTAAAGGTTAAATTTGATTAATGTAAAGAAAGAAAAATAGCCCAGTAGTAGTTCCCCTTTTTTTTTAGCTAGTGTGTTGTTGTCATAGTAGTTAATTAGCCTATATGTCAAACATAAACATTGTAGTCATGTAATGTTCTGAAAAATAGCATAGTGGCCTTCTATTTTTGTTTAATACCAGACAATTTGATGTAAAAATGTAAATGGTTGAACATTGGTTGAATATTGCTTGTCAACCAGAGGGAATTCTTTAGATTCGACTGCATAGGAAATATTTAAAGCTTCACTATTTTTAAATCATGTAGATTTTCTCTAACGAAGGTATTTAATTGATTTAGTACATTTTGCTTAGGACTTGCGATGCTCGATTCGCGAATGAGTCTGTTATTTTCAAAGAATCGGTCAGCAAAATCGATTCACGATTCAGTCCGATACCGATTCATCGAACCTTTCAACTAACACATTCGCCCACTGGTGCAGTTTCCCGCTCAGAAAAAAAGCAACAGAATTCTCAAGACCGGAGCACAGAAAACAAAATGAGCACCGATAAAGTAAATATTTGCCTTAAAACAATTGAAACTGTACATGCAAATCCTAATTTGTTAGCGACGGAAAAAATATCGAATATCAACATCTGCTGCACGTGCTGTTTATGAATAACTCGGGCTTTTGTACTCCTTTTCGAGATAATTTGTTTTATAATACACATGTATTGGATCATAATGCAGCTGACTATTTTGAAAAATGTTGTATTCATTTTATATTTATAAAACAAGTCATATTAATTAGCTTAAATTTAGTATGTCATGTAGATTTGTAACTAACTGCTTTCTTTACAGGGTAGCTGTGCTATTAGCTACATTTTGGGGTATCTTCTTGCCAACACTGCTTAATACATAATTTCTGATGACCTCTGTTGAGCAGCTGTACAGTAGCTCGCGATGCTCTAGTGGTGACCGCTTGCGCTGCATCTCCAGCTGCACTCACAGCGCGCGCACTGCATCAGTCACCGTCCGCGAGCGCATTCAAGCCTCGGACAACACAGCGAAACTGGAGCAAACAGTTCAGTACCCTCCGCCGACCCAGTGGACCGGGACCGAAAGGCAACCTCCACCGTGGACCGATGAACTCGCAGAAATGTCCCGGCATATCTACACCCGACACGGGATAGGCGATGGGGTCCAGAAGCCGATTTTTCAGGTAGGGACGCTAGAGAAGGTGTTGATGCGCTGTGAATCTGCACTATACACTCGCATCGTTGTTGTGTCTTGTGTGTGTTTATAGAATCCAGCGGTTTGCATTTATCAATGCACATTTCTTTCAAATCTGCCAACAGTGACAATATGCTTTCTTTTGGAGGGTTTTTACTCACTGTAAATTACTCATTTGAATCTTTGCATAATAATTAATATGTTTAAAACTTGTCACGTGTTGTATTTGTGAGTTTAGCATCTTAATCCCAAATCATAGCCCTATACTATGCTCATTGCTCTATGTGCTTTGTATATTATATATTTATGTTTGTAATACATTGCCTGAATAGATCTCACAAGCAGAAAACCTCTAAATGTCCTTGTAATATTTCCATTAACTTATGATAGATGACTTGATGTTGTTACACTTACTGTGTTGGTACAAATGGGATACCATGGTATGGTAGTTGGATGGTTGCCTACTTCAATGTACATAAAAGCTTTACATGGTGTTACAATTGTACAATTGTTCAAGTCTTGTGTAGGTTTTGCTCTCCTGATATCTTTTACTGATGGTCAGAATGACGTTTACCTGTTCTCCCCTTTTCATATTATTTCACACCGAGCAAAATTCCTTTGAGTTTTGTATTTTAATAATCCTAGCCTATGTATAATGTGGAAAAATTGCTTAAAGGGACAGTAGACCTGAAAATAAAAATTCTGTCATCATTTACTCACCCTTATGTTGTTCCAAACCCGAATGACTTTGAAATGTTAGGGACCGACGACAGCCTCGGTCACCATTCACTTTAGTTGCATTTATTTTCATACAATGTAAGTGAATGGTGACTGAGTCTGTCATTCTACCTAACATCTCCTTTTGTGTTTTTGTGTGGAATTTAGAAAGTCATATGGGTGAGTAAACGAAGAGAGAATTTTCATTTTGGGGTAAATCCCTTTAACCTACAGGCTGCTTATAGTAATACAGGATCATTAAAAACGAATCCCAAACGTGCTAAAGATTAATGGATGTCAGTTTGACGCATTAGTCCTTAATTAGGCAGCTAAATAATTCATGTTCTCATTGATTTCCTTGCAAAGGATGCATGGCCTGACCCAGTTTGTAAGCATCATTGCTTTTTTACGGAGCAGATGGCCATAACATTTTACGTTTCACTGTTTCTTTTGCAACAAACTCACTGAAAACATCCATCCATATATTTTAACCGCATGATCAACCCTGAAGGGGTTCGATGTAGGACTGCATTGCGGCCAGCCGTACCGAAGGGCAGTTTCGCCTGCTCAACACATTGCATTGATGTCTATGTGGCACTGCAGAGTTCAGCTTCCTTGTAGGAATGCGCTTTGACACCTATTTCAATAGATCCTCCTTATCTATCAAGCTTTTAGTCACGTAACACCCTGGATAAGGCAAAGATCCTCATGTCCGCTGTATTGAGCTGCACAAAACAGCTGTGATTAATGCAAGTGATGAATTGCTGAAATGCTTTAACAGTGCATTTGACTCTTAACAGTAACTTGTATAACTAACGGGCCCCATTGAGACCCCTCTGATAGTGTTGTGGTGGGATATGTGGGTGTATGCGTGTACGAAGGTGCCCCTGTTCTGCCGGGAGGATATGGATTAATAGCTTGTTCTCTTCCTGCAGGTGAACAGAGGCACCTACTCACGGCGCAGTCGACTTAAGAGATCCGACGGCAGTACGACATCCACCAGCTTCATCCTCCGTCAGGTGAGAGGGGATGATGGAGATTATGGAAATAATGTTTAAAAATGCAATGCATGACTCTCCGAAGCACTCTCACACTTGCTTTTGTTTTGTATTGAATTGTTCTCTTTTGTTTGAGACTTGGTCACTCGCTCAGCTCACTCTGCGTAGGACATTTTTGAAGAGTCTTGAAGAGTGACTAATATTCTCAGTGCAATTAGGATCCACTTTCCATGTGCCCAATGTGCAAAACTGGGTTATGTAATACTTTTTATAGAAGCCAACGAGTTTGCATTTATCATTAAACTGCAATGCAAATAAAATCTTTGAATTTAGCGCCTAATGCCGAATCATTGGCCTATACTCTGATATACCTTTGGAAATGCACTTTCTAGAAGTTGTATAGTTCTCAATATATATGTTCAAAGAATTATACTTCTGTGCAGCTTTTTGAATGGGTCATTTGGTTTCCAAGCAACAGATGAATTCTCTCTGTCATCAGATGAATATGAATTACTCATGGCTACCTTTCCAACTGAACTTGCTTGACATTTAGCTGAATAGAGCTAGCATGGATCTTCAGAACATCTAAAAAAAAATGATTTTGAGATTTGAATTCAAACCTCTAAATATTCTTTTAGACCATGCAGTATGAAATCAAAGAGCGCTGAATGTTTTTCTAGTGGAAATATGGAAATATGATCTAATCATGGTCAGATGCATCTAGATCTATGAATTTGCACAGAAGAAGAAAGTATCCCAGGGGAAACCAATGACCTTGATGCCTGCAATGTGGCATTTCTAGCTGTCGCCGAGTCTACCCTTGCTCGTATGTTTGAGGACTGTACAGTATTCCCTGCAGAGTTTTTGTGCTGCTGTAAAGCAAATGGCTTTGCCTTTGGTTATTAATTCATAATGTGGATAGGATTAAACTTTCATTCCTATACTGTAACCAAACAGCATTTACTGTAATTGTTTTTGTTAATTTACAATAACAAATCTAGTCACTGTGGTCTGTTTTAAGTTTTTTATTATTATAATAATAAGAAACATACATTTAAAATAAAAATAAAATCAAAACAAATACAATGATTATTACAGGGAATACCTCTTCCCAGATAAATTATTACTTTAAATAGTTCATAACGTGAATAATTTTAACCATTTCTATGATATTCTATGATAATTTCACCATAAAAATATATGTATTGCTTTGTTAAACATATATTTTGTCCATGAATTATAAGTGAATTCATACTATATACTTTATTATGTTTTTTACAGTATTTGTTTTTTGGAATCAATTTACATGTCTTTTAAAATATTATATAATTGTTCCTGTATGGTAAGGTAACTATTCACTATTGTACTATACAGGACATCAAGTATGGTTGTCATATTTCTTTTATCATCTCTCTTGTTTTTTTGTGATATAATCTCCTTTTCTGCTTTTCCCCCCTTTTTTGTATTGAGCAGTTTATTAGTTGCAATTTTATTGGTGCTATAATGAGACATAAAACAGCTTTAACTCTTATTGATAAGTCCGGTCACCTCATGTACGCAGCCCATATGCTGCAGTCTATCTCAAAATGATTCTAGAATCTAGGTCCCCAAACAACCTTGGGAATTCTGCATTTTGACTGACTTCCAGGACATTCTATTTTTGGCCATAAAGGTGGTTTCACAGCCAAGACCCTTCATTGAGGACAACCTACTTTACAAAGTTTGCATATAATATATATATATATATATTTAAATGTGACCATAAGTAGAGTTTGGTTTAGGCTAAATTCTTCTAAATTCAATTAAATTGATCTGAGAACCTCAGATTTACACGGTAGACTGTTACTACACTTCCAAGTCCCTGTAAAATGAAAATGTACAAAAGATGTATATGAAATATTTTTATAAAATATAGTTACGTCTTGCTCAAATGAGGCTAGAAAATCCAGAGGTGGTTCAAATCTGCTGAGATCAATGTTAAAGACAAGACTCCAGGTAATAGTCATGATATAACTTAAACTTGCCTTAAATTTATGGCTGTAGCGAATCTGATTTTGATGCAGAGGGCTTGAAAATGATTTGTTAACCCAAACCGTTGGAAGTTGTTGCTGTTTTTATTGTTATCCATAATAATGCATTTAAAATTCCTGATCACTGGGAGCATGTATAAATAATTAATCTGTCTGGTATAGGTCACATGGCTAAACTCTTTAGTAATTCATTTATTTCTTTGCTTCCCTGCTGTGTTTATTGACCATAGGCCCCACAGAAAGCTCAAGAGCAGTGGCTGACTGTTAGCATGACTGTTGATTTGGAGATCTAATGTTGATTTATAAGATTTATGGATCATTAAATAGTGGAATAAGGAAACAAGGCACATAATCATTGATTGCAAAATAGCGAATGGGTTCTTCGTACAATTATTACAGTCATTCAAATGAAAGTTAGGTATTAAAAGGAAACCAAATATATTACAGGATTAAGATTTAAGATATTATTATGCTTTTAGTAACAGGCATTTATTCTGTTTATTTTGATCTTCCACTTTGATAGCTGATCCATAAATCAGAGAAAGAACAAAATAAAATGAAAACTGAAAACATTTTTCATTAAATCTGAAAATATCAGTAGTGATCTTAAGGAGTATACCTCATGCCATGTAAAGTAACATGTTAAAGTATTCATATACATTTACTAAAATAATCTATAATGGTAATATTTTTATTTTATTTGTGGAGGTATATATTTCATATTTAATATTTCATATTAACAATATTCATTCACGTTAATTTTAAAGATAGATTTGCCATTGTTATCTCTTCATATCCTTCTTGGTGGATAAATGGAGAGAAAACTGTTGATTGCTCTGTTATCTATTGATATCTATGGACTCCTTCATGGGTTCATTTGATTAAAGTTGTAAGAGTAGATTGAAGAGTTGAATGTATTTGACCTTTCTCAGAATAATGTGCGTTTCAGTGAGCAGAAAGCAGACATGTTGTAGATGAGCATTCTGAACTACAGGGGGCGATGTGTGCCAGAGTTTTATACTCAAGAGAGAACCATGATTAATTAACAGCTACACCGTCAGTTCATTTTCATGTAATTACTTGAAAAGACTTGATTGTTCTTGGTTTTCTTATTATTTCAGTAGCTGGAGTGATATCATGGGAAATATAAATCAATAACAGACTTAGAAATGCAAAACAAGCTTCTAGTGCCCTGGGTCCCTGCTTGTCCCAGTGACCTCGAGATGGAGTTGGTGTTTTATAGCTTCTCCACAGTCATGGGGATGTAATTACACAAAGCAGAGGTATTGATACTCCTGCTAAAGAAAAGTCTGGTTCAATATCAGTTAGAGAGATTTAGGGACAAGGGACGTTTGTAGGGATGGGTTTTTTTGTATTATGCCATTGTGGTATACACAAGTTATAGGCCAGTTTTATATATATATACTTTATCTAGAAGTAAATATTGCTGTTTTTTTACCTAATTGTAAAAATTTACTTTATTGTAGTTATAGTAGGGACACAAATAATGCTTCTCAATTCAGCTTTTTCACTCAACTTGCTTTACATTGGGGGGGAAATGGTTTCATTTCAACAGTTCCATTTGCTGTGAGCATGCACTGGAACATGAATAAATCATATTTGCAACTGTTGCATTTATTTGACCATCTGACTCTTTGATTTTGGTGTCATATTTAGTATCGTGTTGTGATGTCAGGATGCGTTTGTTTTTCCACTTAAAATTATGTTTACATGTGTGTATCATGTACCATGTGGACTTTGTGTTTGGCATTTTAATGTGTTTTATGAATGTTTTTGTCTCAAATGTTGTCATTAGTTTAAGACAGCAAGCTCTTTCTCTCAGATGAAACACATAATATCAATTATAATAATAATATTAAATAATTTACACAGTATAATTAACAATATAAATAAATTGAACTATTTACATTAAAAGTTTAATTAAGCTAATAACGTTAAGAAATCTAAAATTCAGTCAGGTGAATTAATTTTAAAATTAGTTGAATTTTGCAAACACCTATTTTTTTTTACCGTGTATGTGAACTGTAATACACAAATTATTTGTAAGTATTTGTGGAGTCTATCTGTGAACATGGGTGGAAGAAGGAGATGAAAAGAGAAAGAGGTGAGATGCAGTTCCAAGATGGACAAAAATAGAAACAGCGAGGAAAAATTGCAGGAAACCCAGTGGTCAAGGAGTGGAATGCTGTCAGCACCCTGCAGACCCCTTCTCCTCCTCTAACATTCAACAGAAGAGAGCACTTGTCTTTTCTTACTGGAGCTCCCATCAGCCAATCAGAAGACGGTTTCGCTGCTTTGTCATCAGCCTCTGATTGAGGAAGACTCTGTTTGCTTGCTCTGTTTGTAGAAGCTTGATAAAATGCCAGGTCTCTGCAGCCTCTGGGGTGAGCCCCAGTTCTCTATGATGTGATCGATCACGCTTCATCCTCATTAATACAATACGCTGGCTTCAGGAGCAAGAGAGCGACTGCCGTTTCCTTGACATTCCTCCTTTGGTGGTCTTTCTGTGGGCAAGGGGATTGTAAGAGAGCCCTGTTAGACATACTCTCGCTGGAGCTTTCTTATCCCACATTTGCATTTGATCATTAAGGTGGTCCCTTGGGAATATCAGACCTCCATGTACGACAATTTGTACCTTCATGGATTCGAAGACTCGGAGGCGGTGAGTAAGGGTCTATGTGCATCTTCATGGTATTTTCAATGAATGCATGCTCACACAAACGCTCTGGGGATGGCTGCAGATTCAGCTCGTAGATGGTGCTACTGGTCCCAGTGAGTGTTTTGGGGGAGGGGATCTGTATGTGTTTGTGTGCATGTGTATGTGTTTTGTTTTTAAGTATCACCTCCACTATTTCTCTAAACCGCGCTCTGTTCCGTGGATGCATCGGTGGAGTCAGTGTGAGTGGAGAGCATCAGTCAGCTGTGGTGGTAGCCTGTTATTCCGAATCATTGAGCTGTTGCTAACGCCACACTGCTTACTGGTTTAGTTCCTCTTAGCTTGCAAGCATTGTTTTTTTTTGGGGGGGGGGGGGGGGGGGTCATTAAGTGTCTTTAGATCAGACATAAACAACGTATGTCTATGCTGGTTACAGCCACATCAAGGCCAGTCTCCTTAATCAAGTGGTCACAAGTTTCAACACTTTACAAGAGATGCGCCTGTTGCTCTTTGAGATGCAGCTGTTTTCTTACACCACAAATTATTCCCGTTCCACTCAGTGTTACCATAGGCAAAGATTAATCCGTGATCTTATGCATTTTTTGTCTGAATCAGGTTTTATAATATAGTGTAGGATTTTGACTCATTGATGCATTTTATTTGCTTAAAGGGGACCTATTATTCCTCTTTTTACAAGATGTAATATAAGTCTCTGGTGTTCCCAGAATGTGTCTGTGAAGTTTCAGCTCGAAATACCCCACTGATCATTTATTATAGCATGCCAAATTTGCCCCTATTTGGATGTGAGAAAAAACATGCCGTTTTTGTGTGCCAAGTCAGTAGCAGTGTATAGCCTTACATGTAGCTCAAACAGTAGACCGTTGGCGCTTGCAACGCCAAGGTCTTTGGTTCGAATCCCAAGGAAAGCAAGAACTGATAAGTATGTAAATGTATACCTTGAAATGCAATGTTAGTCGCTTTGAATAAAAGTATCTGCCAAATGCATAAAATGATGGAGAGACTAATAGAAGTTACAACTTTTAGAATGCAACTGTGCGTTTCTGAATGGTTTCCCACAATGGTAAGTGGATAAAATTATGTAGCTGTTGTTGAGTTAAGTTAATTCAACTTATTGACCATGTACCGTCATTTATCTAAAAATCTTTCAGAAACATATTCAGTGCTAATTCAGTGTTGAACTGACCCTCATTTGTGAAGCAGTCCAGCGTAAAATGATTTGCACAAATATATAACACTTTAACGACTTTCTTTGTCACATTTTCTTCATTAATGAAGGTCAACCATGGTGTCCTCAGTGGCTCAGTTGCCCGGAGTCTATGGACTCTGTTTGTTGGTACATCCAATAACAGATGATAATTGGCTCGTTTTCCCATTAATGTATAAATTATTATTATTATATGGCTAGTATTATTATTAAATTAATATTGAGAACTACAATTCATTTGCCTTCCCTAATTTCTTAACGGCATCACAACATACAGTAACCACATCTTGACCCACTGATACGCACGTATGAGGATGTAGTGCTCCTCAATTTATTTATTTTTAAAAACGACTACAAAACTACATCCCACAAAATTTAATTGCAAGGTGATCTATTGAAAAATTATCAAGTGTTTGTTATAAAAGAGACTCATCATTCTTATAGCCTTGTTGTTTAAGTCAAGATGAAAACGGCATTGTTGTTCATCAGCATTTTGTGTTGTTTCCATTGCACATTAACAAAATGACACTAATAATACTAAAACAATACAATTACAAACTAATAATAATCACTAAAATTATAGGCCTTATAACAGTCTTTAGGTTCGAACACAGCATAAATCAGTGATCTGTGAAAATCAAAAGCAGCTTCAAACACCGACTTAAAAAAACTTCTTTAATTTTTTCGCTGTCATTAATGTATGGTCCACAAGAGAAATATTAAGCTAAATTAAGATGTTATAGGTTACCGTTATCGGTTTTGTTGAGGTAGATTCATCGTTGTCTCTGAGAGAATGCGCCAAGAGCTTGGTCAGTGACAATGCATGTGGTTATGTAATTATTTAAAATCACAACAGACATAACAAATCAGTCAGACACAGATATAGGCTCACTAACTGGAATAACCTTATTTATTAATAAACACTCCACCTTTCCTAGCAAAATAGAAAAAGATTCTCATATATAAAATAAAGTAATTAAATAAGCAAATTAATGAGTAAAGAAATAAGCAACTTAATGATCAAATAAGTAAGTCACTCGCTTTGAGCAATGCCAATTTAAAGGTCCCCTGACATGGGGTTATTTTATTATTTTATAATGTTTCCTGGGTTGCCCTTATAATGTTAGCATGTTTTTTAGATCAAAAATAGTCATAATTTAGAAATAAAAGCCATTTTTCCTAGCCTGATTTTAGCCTCTGATTTGAACGCTCTGTTTGAAGGGGCGTGTCTCTGTGGGATTCAGTGTAACCGCCCACTGCTGTGATTGGGTGACATGCTTGCATATGAAATAGCTATGTATTACATGCGAAACCTTCTGGAATACTTTTACTACAGCTATTATACGTTTTTACTATTACAGCTATCGAGATTAACGAATCGTGAGAATTTTTAAAGGAGCTGTATGTAAGATTGTGGCCAAAACTGGTACTGCAATCACTGTCAAATTACTGTCGAGTGGTGTATCCCCTCCTCCTCCCCCTGACTCGAGGTTGCCAGATCGGCTGCAGGATCCAGCAGGAACGTGACGAGCTGCAGCTGTGGTAACTAGAGCAGAGCTGGCAACCCGGATGCCGCAACACTACTGACTTCGTGATTGGTAGATAGGTGGAGGGTGGAGCATCAGACCAAAACACAACATGACAACATCAACATCAGTTGAGGGCTGCAACTGCACTTTTTAAATGACAATATCCTGGCCAGACTACTGTTGTCAGTGATATAAGTTTTTGAAATGTACATGATTTCTTAATGTCTAGTGACATTTCAGGGCCATTTTATGATTAATTGAAATACATTTCTTACATACAGCTCCTTTAAAAGTATTTAGATCTATTCCCATCACTTAAAATGTTGCTGTGATGAGCATTGAGCAATCAGATGACAGTCTGCTGATCGCGAGCATGAAGATCTTATCTTTGCAACGCAGTTTCTGCTCTCTCTAAAGCTTTCCCCAATGCAAACACGATGATGTAGTACGTACATACAGTAAGAGCTTCGTTGTGCAGTGTAACGTGCGTCATTGATTTCATAACGAGTTGTCCAGATAAACTCGCGCTGTGTGGAAAGATTGTTCTTTGATAGCTTTCTGTATAATTTGTTCAGAATTTAAATAAGATTATTTTCATCCTACTAAAAGAAACGATGTGAAGTTGATATTTTAGTCACTGGCTTGACTTACTGATGCATAAACAGTATTGAACGATTTTGAGAGAAAGATTAACTTACCTGTCTGAACTTGAACAATTAGGCTACACATCAGAAATTGTTGCTTGGTAGCTCGATCGATTTATTTTCAGACGTTCATCGAGTTGAGGAAACAGTCGTCGGTGAAATGTTTGGACCATACAAAACTTTGGGAAGTTGTGTCGGCGCATTTCCAGAGAAAATAAAATTAACCCATTGTTTCTTCAGAGGCTCGGATGAAGAAACTAAAAAATACTTTTGTGTTCATTTGTACATCCGAACACTGATCAACTGCCATGCTTCGCTCGTTTGCAAGCCATGATATCTCTCGAGGAAAAACTCAAATCTCAAAGCTATTTCTCCAGGAAAAACTAAAATTGCGCCGGCGCGTTCGTACTTCCTGTTCCTAGCTCGTTTTCTCATGGCAAAGCAGAGAAAGGGGAGGTAACCTTTCCTCCTTATGACGTCATAAGGAGGAGATTCAAGATCAGCGCGTCTGAGCTGCAGAGAAGAGAAAAATAGCCAAAGCTCGGTTTACACCGATTGAAAATTCTAGACACGAGGGGACCAAATACAGGCTAGGGCAGGGGTAGGCAAGTTCGGTCCTAGAGAGCCGCTGTCCTGCAGAATTTAGTTCCAACCCTAATCAAACACACCTGAACAAGCTAATCAATGTCTTCAGGATTACTAAGGCTATAGACAGGAGAGGTTTTTTACAGTGTTGGAGCTAAACTCTGCAGGACAGCGGCTCTCTAGGACCGAGCTCTCCTACCCCTGGGCTAGGGGAACTAATATTAATGTTAAAAAACCTCAGAAAGTGAAAATTTCATGTCAGGGGACCTTTAAAGAGTATTCATAGAGTTAGTCATAATTTAAAAAAAGATATAACATTAAAGGGTTAGTTCACCCAAAAATAAAAATTCTGTCAGTAATTACTTACCCTCATGTTGTTCCAACCCCGTAAGACTTTCGTTCGTCTTCGGAACACAGATGAATATATTTTTGATGAAATCTGAGAGCTGTCTCACTCCTTCATAGGCTTCTAGGCAATTTCATTCTGCCGGTCCAGAAAAGTTAGCAAAAACATCATTAAAATAGTCCAAGTGACTACAGTGGCTCATATACGAATATACGACTAAAAAACGACTAAAAAACAAAAATAACGACTTTATTCAACTATTCATTTTCTTCTGTGTGGGCCTCTGACGTGAGTTCACAAGAGCGCAATGACGCATGCGCGAGAACCCGGTAGGTGGCTTCCTCTTCTGTGATTTCGGGAGGAAGAGGTACCTCATCGCCACCAGACTCTGTGGGAGGAGACAACATAGGTTCAGTGTGAGGTTTTAGGAGAGACACATGGAAAGATGGTGAGATATGGTAGTGAGGTGGAAGGTTTAGCCTGTAGGTGACCTCATTGAGCTGCCTCTGCACAGTGAATGGACCTATGTACCGGGGACTCAGCTTACGGCAAGGCAGGCGGAGACGTATGTCCCATGTTGAGAGCCACACCTTCTGGCCTGGATCGTAGCGAGGGGTAGATGTTCTTCGGGCGTCCGCTTGTCTCTTGCGTCTCCGCACTGCAAGTTGGAGATGCAC